AAAAACGCTTAAAAGCTAAAAAACGGGTGAAAACTCATTTTAACGCTATAAAAAATGTGAAATTTAACCCACTTCTTGAAAAGTTGTTATATTTCAGCAAGTATATGAAAATTCATCTATAGTAGAACCTCTTTTAACCGGCAGCAATAGGACCTACCTGATTCCGGATAACAGAATTTTTCGGATAATTGAAAGCATATTCGTATAACTTTCTTTTTCATGCTTTATGATGCAATTTGTATAAATTTCAACATGAATCGTCCGTCGGTTTGTTTCTCGCTCTATCTGCCACACTGAAATAAGTAATATCGAAAACCATGTGCGGAATATTTAAAATTAAAAGTTACGAATTTCTTAGTATGATGGGATATAACTTTAAATATCTGATTGCTTACAAGATTGTCTCCCTAATTTTAAACATTCGCTGAATATACAATATGAGGAATACCTCGTGCAGAGTGCGATATGTCCTACTCAATTACTATTACATATTGCAGTATTAATACCAGTACGTATTCCTATTGAAATTAAAAAAAAATAATAGTATGTTTTTTTTTTTTTAATAATAGTGTGATAGTTATCAGCTGTTATCCATGATTACTTTTTATTTGTTACGTTCCTAGTGTAATCGCGTTCCTCGGAAATTGAAGTACTCCCATAATTTTCCCCTCTCAGTCTTCGGATCATAAAATCAGTCAACAAAAGAAGGAAAATAAGTGAGGAAATCAAACTTCATCGTATGTGGGTTTCACATTCGGAATTATTTAAGAAATCATATTTTAATATGAAGCTTTATATATTCAAATTTATTAAGAAATCGTAGGATTAAATTTCGTGTTTGAATTTAGATCTTCGAAGATGATATTATTTTGATATTGCCGGTTATAAGACATTTCCGATAATTGCTTCCGACAATTGTTTACAATTACGTTTTACTCCATTAAAATAAACAGATTAAAATTCTATTGTGAAATTTCGTTTAGTAATAATTCGCCTTCGATTCCTCAGCAGGGATGGATTAAACATCTTTACATATAATAAAAGGAAGAGCCTTTGAGCGTAAGCTAATAAACCCACGGCTACGAAATTTGGTACATAAGTGTATCTAGACAATAGCCAGTCACTTCGGAGCGATTTTTTCAAAATTCGAATTAGTTGTTTTTATTTTATGTTTTTTGATGAATTTGCATCAAATCAATGGCACGCAGCCATTGTTGCTGATATCAGCACTGTTGTCACTCGGAAAAATGAGGGTGATGGTTTGTGTTTAAATTTAATGTTTCTCTTGGATACTGGACGTTTGTCGAGAGAACGTTTGTTTTTCGATACATTTTAAAGCCAGACGAGGGCTGGCGCATAGCGGCTAGTTAAGCAATAAAAGCACATGACACATTAAATAATTAAAGCACATGCTTGGGGCATTATGAAAGGTAGTAAACGTATTCAGGAAACGGAGAACCAAAGAATTTCCCATTACCGGTTTGATCATGGAATGCATGGTGCAGCTAAGCCAAATTCGAAAGAGAAGGAATGAAGAAAAACTGGCTTAAACGTATAGTAACGTATTCAGGAAACGGAGAACCAAAGAATTTCCCATTACCGGTTTGATCATGGAATTCATGGTGCAGCTAAGCAAAATTCTAGAGAGAAGGAATGAAGAAAAACTGGCTTAAACGCATATGAAGGCACCAAAATCTTAAGTGCTTACGGCCTTTAAAGATTTTAATTCGGCTCTGTTACTCACTTACCAAATCTCCTTTTTAATGAACATCTGTACTAACATTGGAAACAAATGTTTAATTTCGAAACTCCATAAAGAGGTCTTGCTTAACAATAATGTGCAATTTCAAAAGACTCGCCTGTATTCCTGAGTTCCTCTCAAATAATAACATAACAATAGAAAAAACTTGGAGACGAAAGGATTTATTGTTGTCATTATTCTTCATCCTAAAATACTTGAAAACAAACGATACATACAGAAAAAAAAAAGATCACTTTTATTATGATATACATTTAACAAGCACTTTTTTTTTAAATTTCGTGTCAAGAAAGGAAAATACTTAAACAAAATACATATTCGTGAAAATTTTATTACCAAAAAAAGAAATGGCGATTTAATGTCATATAAATCAGTTAACAGCTTTGTGAACTACGATGATACTCGAACGTATAACATTTTATGACGGTACTTGAAAAGCGAATGAATGCATCTAGACAAATGATCGAAGTTATCTAGAAAACAGAAAAATATATATGTACATTAATCATACTACGAGGCGACTCAAAATATTTCAACAGTTGAAAGTGAGGAAAATATGAATGGTTGATTATTTGCCAAGAGAGCATTTTTTAACAGTTTCAGCCATGCAGCCTTTCGAAATTTTAGGTTCGGCAGCAAAACTTTTCCAAATTTTACAATGCGATTACCAATATAAGAGAGGAGATATAAACGTTATATTCTCCTCCACCTACCCACCAGGTTCGTAAATACTAGCATGGTCTGACAGTCACCATTCTGGAGATACTGGACCAGGTTCCTGATATCCAAATGGGCAGTCTCTGCTATCCTAGACTGTAGGTGGTTTATGACATATGAAGACACATTTACAGCAATTTTTTTCAATGAAATCTGGCTACTGAGAGCTGACAGTTCGTTTCAGATTCAGATAGCCGTTGAACATGGTAGCAATATAGGCTTTTCATTGTTTTTTTCTATGAATATCAAGAAAGGGAGCCGATTCACCTCGGAAAATCTTTCACGAGAGCAGTGTTACAGTGCTTTGTCGTAATAACTTAATCGCAAGCAGTTTCAATAATTTTTTAATCCAGTGGTCCAGCCATGAGTGAACAAGATTTTTCTCATATATAATGCAAATGCTAGACATTTAGAAAGACCGTGTAAGGCATAGTCCTCAAGCGCTTTATCATAATAAATAATTTAATATATTGATATCGTGAGAATAATTTAACCATTTCAAATCTTTTTTTTAAAACTTTGGTTTGTGTTTTCTGCTGACTGTTCAACAGCAGCAACTGAATAGTACCTTCAATGCAGTAGCATCTGTACGAGTTTCAATTAAAGTACAGCCTAAATAACGCAATGATATGGGAACTGTTCAGTAAATTTGGAACTGCAGTTTATGCCGGCATTTTGACAACCGGTTTTGACAACTGCAGTGTTTAACACAAACGCTGTTTTTCATCGAGAAATAGCATCAACGACATTTGGAGTAGCTGAATTTGATAAATATCACAAAGCTCAAAATTCCATAAAAGATGAAGATGGTCATTTACCAAGAAAAAGAAATGGAAAATGAAAAGTGAAATGGGAAAATGGAAATGAATAGGAAATAATAATTAAACTGATACATTAATTAATCCTCTGGACTTTAAACTTATCAAATAATGACACCACCAAACTTTTTCTCTTGAGGGGGGGGAAGAGAAACTTGTGTTTGATCACCCTTAAAATCAACAGTTTTATTCAAAGTCATGTGTTAGCCAATTAAGACTGCTTTTTTTTGGGGGGGGGTAACCTAATTTTTTAGTTTTTCATTGGCGTGTTTCTCTTCCATTAGATATCACAACTGCTAATAGTAGCTGTAATTTAAACTGATATAAATTTATTTGTTATGTGAACCCAATGTGTTTGAACAAGGAATTAGTCATATGATCTTCTGCAGACTTATAGTTATTCATATGCATTTGCTCACTGCCGTTCGTCATAGATGTTTTTGATGGACCTTGGACCATGTTTTGCTTCATTCAAAATTTTTCATTGGCGTGTTTCTCCTAATTGATATCACAGCTGTTAACATTACCTGTACTTTTCATATTACTGCTTCTATTACCGTCACAGATGTTTTTGATCGACCCTGGACATTGTTTCTGCTTAATTTATTCATTATTTTCATTGGCATATTTCTCTAACATTTGATATTAAACTAAACTCAGTGGCGTAACAGCTCTAGTGGGCCCCGGCCTGCAGTGCCTTTTTTCTGCTTTCTCGAGTCCATAGTGCATCAGCATATGCCCTGGAGAAAGTTGTCAGCCAGTCGTAGGACCCCGGGTGTTTAGTCTCCAAGCGAACTTGGTACTCATCTTATAAGCCCACTTAAGGGATGAAAGGCTGAGTGGACCTTGCCCAGCCCGGTTGATCGAACTCCGGACCTGTGGTGCAAGCGCTAGCCACTTCGCCCCCGGTCGGTCAACATTTGATATTACGGCTGCTAATATTCCCTGCAATTCTAATCGCGGTGAAGCTACCTGTAATGTGAGCCCAAATGTGTTTGACTAAGCAGTAAATCATACTGTCTTGAATAGAAGTCTCTGCAACCCTAAACTTATTCATATCCTCCTAGCCGTTCGTCATAGATGTTTTGACGGACTCTGAACCAGAAGAAGAAAACAGATGAAACCCGTTTTTTTGTTATACTAAATGAAAGAGGATTCCTTGATATGAATTAGATAAGCGTATAGACGCTAAAGTACCCTTAATATCAGTTTTTTTTTTAAAAAATTTATTACATATACTTTACAATACCTTATTGCTCGACTTGTGTTTCAGGTTTCTGCGTCGAAAATGCATAGAGACAGAACTTCAGAAGGCCAGTGATTGTTCAAGTAATATTAAACAACAAAATTTAGCTAAGAAGAAACTATTTCTGTTTTGATTTCTTCATATATTTATTTCGGATGACCTCGTACATTTATTACAGACTATTATATGATTTCCAAGTTGCCAGAACTTCATTTCAAACAATTCAACCTTCTTTCGTTTTTTCAAGCAAAACTTCTGCTTGAAAGTTGAGCTGATACTCCAGATCGAAGAAGCCGAATCCACTTTGAGGGGGAAGGGAATATAGATATGGTGCTAATACTTAAAAATATTCAATAATTGATCGAATTCAATTCCTTATATCAAATATCATCTAAACAAATATCCAGAGGCATTAAAAATAAAAGCAGGACAATGTAGCAAAAGAATAAACACCAGAAAATAAACATAGATTGTAATATTTATTCTCTTTTTATATAACAACACACACTTTAATAAACATATATAATTGCAAATGTTTACATCACATTTAGTTTTAAGCTTCATATTCATAGCTGTATTGTTTCGACGCCAGGAATGTCTCCAAATCGGGAGGTTCGGGTTTATAAGTAGCAAGGCCTTCTTGGAACAGGAAGCGGGCTACTTTGGCCGCAATGGTCAGGGACACTTTGCGAATTGTATCTAAAGGAGGATAGACGCGACCTTCCGCCATATTTTCTTTGGTCACTTGATCCGCCAGAGCCTATAATACATATAATTATAAGATTAGAAAAATTGCCGTGTTCAATTCTACCTACTGTTTACTGTAGTGTCCAGTTCTTCAAAATATTAAATATAATTAAATATAATTTTAATTTAGAATTTTAAATATAATTTAATTAATAATAATGTTCATAATTTGATTAAAAAGTATAAAGCATTATTACTGAAACAAAAGCTTTCCAGTTTCGAAACAATTTTTAAATCTTTTAAAAAATTTTAATTTTTTACAGACTATTTTGATAAATTTTAATATTTTGAAATCATCACTTAAAGAAATGAAATTAAATAAAATAAATTTGATTTAAATTTCATTCTAAAATTAAGTTTTAAAATATAGACTAAACACAGCAGTATTCGGGTTCTGCCTTTCTCAAAATAAAATGAGTTGATTTCAAGATAAATCTATACCAGATTTTTTTTAAAAAGGTTAAAATAGATTTAATAATTCTGCAGGAGTTGACAATTTGGTTCAGCCACGATTACAATAAATGCATTAAGTGGGTAAATAGCAAATCTGCAATAGGAGTTTCTACTGCAAATTTACTATTTACCCATTTAATAATTTGGGTTTAATATAAGACAAATTACGTTTAATATTTCGTACATAATTTATGTTTTCTTGAATGACAAATTATGTAGGAGATATCTTATGAAGCTTTCTGTACATAACTGCTGAGAAATACTGCAGTGGTTTTTATGCTTGTGTATTTCACTCTTACTCTGCTTCTGAAAACCAATTACAAAGTAACAAAACACAATCCATTAATAATATGCCTTACAAAAACAGGAATCAATACAACAGAAAATTTTTAATATAATAGAAAATTTTCAACTTCAAAATTTTTCACATACTCCACTTGAACACAAACATTTCTCCACTTGAAATTTTTAAAACAAATTTTAGGCCAAATTATTTTTTTTCCAATATTTGCTCTTGTCCCGAAATGAACAAAATTATCAGTGAATCTTAGGAAATAAACTCACTGTTGTCAAAACTAACGTATGGAGAGACAAAGGTTGATAATTTTGGATTCACTTAAAAAGTTAATGTGTAGTCTTCAATATTATAAGATCAGTGATCTCACTGGCAAATTCAATTTAGTGGTTTATGATGATCAATATAAGAATGTCTCATTTAGAGACCAACTTAAAAAGTAAAGCATATAAAAACCCAAAAGTACTATAATACAATTTCGAACTAAAAATTAAATGCAGAACAAATTTTTTAACGATAACATTAATATCACTAATTAGATACGAATAAATATACCGTTAAGCTTGTATGTATCTGGAAATCTTTGTAACGATTTAAGTTTCTGGAAAAGGTAGTCGTTAATGGGAATCAATTCCTTACCTTGGCTGCTACTAGGAAGACGCGGTCACCCACAGACCGAGCACCACAAGCAATTAAGGCGAGGGAGACACCTGGAAAAATGTAAGCATTGTTGCCTTGGCCCGGATGGAACGTCTGACCATTTACAGTGACAGCAGGGAATGGGCTACCACTGGCAAAAATGCACTTACCCTGTTTAAAAAAGAAAGCAACTTATAAACATACGCTATTTTACTATTATACCACTACAGAATGTTTAAAATATTTTTAAATCCCATTCAAGGACCATTTAAGACGGTTGGAACATTAGACACAAAGGTGTAAGGGGTCATAAAGTTCCCTTTCCTTGCCTTCATGAGAAAAAATAAAAAGAAGTTATGATTTTGTGGTCCCCTCAAACATACGTCTCTAGCATTAGCTGGTAATCAGGCTCCGATCCCATTTCATTTCAAGGTATATTCCTTTTCAGACGATAATGGTACATGCTGTGGCTAGTTAACCATTCGCCTGTCTTATACTTAAAATCTCTTCCAAATCTACAATTCAGATGAAAGGACCTCACTATTTTCGCCAAGAAGTTAATTTTAGGGCTGACTGTAGTTCCGAAATAAACTTTAGAATTCTGTTACTCAAATGTAATGTGTACAACAATAATTAGCAAAACTCATGCTTCTTGCTGATCAATTTCAAATAAATAAAAAATGAAGTCTGAGACATACGAGATGACAGTATAGTAGTTTCAAGTAAGAAAATTGTATATTTTGTGCTAGTAGTACAAAAATTGGTAAAAGTTTACAATTGCGTGCCCCTTGTTTTTTGGTGATTCTTTTTTTGACCCCAAGATCGGCGCCAGAGGGGCAAAATTTCAAGATGGCCTCTACATAAAACCAAAATAAGAAGTCAAAGAATTGTACAAAATCTGTGTTCATGTACACATCGATCTGTTTTCACTTAAAAAAAAATTCTAGAATTGCACAAACTAGGCATTGTGCATTGCCTTAAATTTTTCCATGTACACATCAATCTATTTTCATTTAAATAAAATCAGGAAGCTAAAACAAAGTTAAAACTATCATGGTAACCAGAAGTGAGGTTTCATCGCCAAAATTAAAAAAAAAATTATCACTAATCGAAGGGGCACCCTATTCTACACTAGAGCACAAAAATTTTAATATCCCAGACTTGGGTAGCTAAGAGCAGTTTTTTGAAGAGTTATCTACCTAAAGAAAGAACATTTTCATGGAGGACTGTCTTACAAAATTACCTTGCATTTGTGCTATCCATGGAAACAATCAAAAACATCGTATAAAATCAGCTTGGTTAGATACCGAGAATAGAAACCATCATGAACTACCAAAGCTCTGTAACCACTATAGTCTATTACTTTTAAACAGACACTTCTAGCTCGGCTTGATCTCCACTCGTTTATTACTATAAGATGGGCCATCATCGCAGACAGAATTTAACAAAACAGAGGATTTGACCTTATTCCGCAGCAATCGTTGCTATGGTTATGTTACTCGTTTTCGAGGAAGGGAGGACCTTGAAGTGCCTATTCTAAACCAAGAAACAGCTCTTGAATGTCTCTCCGTGAACATGAGAGAGCTTGTAATATCGCATACATTAAGGTCAGGATTACCATTAAAAGAATTAAAATCATTAATACAAAATGGGAGATTTTTCACACATGTAGAGGGCTTCAAGTAAAGCTGATTCTTCAATATGATACATAATTCTGATGATACATTTTCAAGATGTAAAAATTCCTCTTTCACACATTACAGCAATCTTGTCACTCTGCTTTATAAAATGTTCCTTCTTTGTCCTCTTGTTTTCTATATATTCAGTATTCTTCCACAGCATTCTTATTTAGAAGCTCATTAGTTTGAAATTCATCATTGTTGATTGAGATTCGTTTTGTTAGTCACGTGCTTAGCAGGCTTTCCTCCCTCGTGTTGTATAATAAACTAGCAGCTTTCTAGCTTTTAAATGTACTGGAAAAATGGCTGAAGGAAACACCAAACGTTAAATTTAAAAACTGCGTAGAATTTTACTCTGCAGAACAACTTCATAAAATAGTTATGTATAACAAAATTACAATTAAATAAGCAATATCCCTTAATGCAAACATTAATTATCCTAATAAAAAAATTACCAACTTTCCGTTGAAGAAAAAAAATCATGCAAACTTTTTAATATCTTACAAACAGTGAAATAAGCAAAAAATAACATGAAAGCAACTCAAAAAACATTAAATTCCACGCAGAATTTTACTCTACAGAATTACTTTATCAAAAAAAAAATCAATAAAAATGTATTATATGTATATCAAAATGACAATGAAAGATGCCAATCTCTTAAAAACAGTGACATAAGAAATACGATGAAAAATTGTTGCCAAACCCATATTTCTAAAAGAATGAAACTATTCAAAATGATGCGATTTCATCAAAATCTATTTCATCTATCAACAACAATAGACAGGAAAATTGTTGCTAAAATCACATTTTTAAAGATGTGAGCAGTGTACTCGGAAGCTTCCTTTAAAAAATTTTTTAAAAATACACAATATTATCATTTTTCCAAAATTCTTTTTGTAAAAGCAGTCGCAAGGATGAAAGTTTAACGAGTCCAAAAATCAAAGAAAATAAACTGTATATTTTAAAAGAAAAATCTTTTTAGAAAAAATCCCGTTGTTAATTAAATTCGTATTTAATCGATTTATTAAACACGAAATTTATTTTAAGTTCGTAAAATAGCTAAGTGCCTACGTTTCATGACGATGTGAAAATAGAGTGTTAAGAGTAAAATCTCGCTTTCCTATAGCCCATGTCTCAAAATGACGCGATTTCGTTACAAAACATAAAATAAAAAAAATTCTAATTCGAAAAACTCGCTTCGAGGTGCACTGGCTCTTGTCTAGATGCACCTATGTACCAAATTTCGTAGCCGTGGGTCTATTAGCTTACGCGCAACGAAAACGAAAGACACACACAAACAGACTCTTTCTTTTATTATATGTAGAGATTATACTTTTTTAGGTGTAATTATAATTACCAGCCTTTTTCAATAGTTATAAAACGGCACAAATTAATTACAATGATTCAGTTCCCAAATTACTCTCTCTTCTATTTAAATCTATGTTCCCGTCATTTTCAGAAAGATTTTACTAGATTTTAATTTCGGCAGAAGACACTAGCATTTGCCAGTGTGAATTGATTAATATATATCAGCCAATCTTGTAGTGAGGGAATAATTTCTAATCACTAATAACTTTTAATATTATAAAAATATTATACCTTTTCAAACTCTCTTTGTTCACTCGAAAAAAATTATCCGAAATCTGTGAGCTAAATTTTATTTGATATCATTCGTCAAATATTGCATTCATTAAAATGTTTTAGTCTGAGTTAACGATTCTGTAGCTGTATCTTACTGCTAATACTTTTGTATTTTTAAAGCTTCTGTATTTTCATATGTTAATGCTTCTGTACATTTGAAGTTTGTATTCGCTGTATATGTTCATTAATCTTGTCATGTTCGTTGGCTAATGTTGGTTTGGCTAATGATGTTAGAATGTGTACAGTTGCATACTATAATTATGGAATGCGAATAGTGTGAATTGATAAAATTAGTTCATGACATTCAAAGCAAAGCTTGAATTAATAAAAAATAGTTATATAAAATCCTAAATTTTTCAGTTTTTACCGAAAGTAAAATGAAATGAACGTTGAATTTTGACATTAATCAAAGCAAACATCTGAACAGTTACATATTACTTTCATCGGCAAACCATGTCTCCTTGCTCGTGTAAATTATTTTACACATTATTTTACTAAACAACCAAACTTTCTTATTTTTACATTCAAATTTGTAATTTCAGTATCAGGTAAAATAGTCCAAAATATTTTTAAAAACCTCACTCGTTTCATTATTTCGGAAGAAAAGAATATGAGCTAAAAGTAAAAAAAATATTTTTCTTTTCAATTTGCACAGCTACAAAAGCTATCTGCCTAAGGAAAGGGAGGCCTTTGTAGAAGACTTTACAGAGACAGGTGGCTCTTATTTACTTTATACCACGAAAGGGGGAAACCATAAAAACATCCATGCAGCGGACCCACTGCTAGAATTCGAAATTGTGTCGAACTACCAGTGTTCAGCGAACTCTAGCGGCCCTAAAATTATCACTTTTTTCCAAATTACGGAGCTATTCTGTCCAAATAGAAATCCTTTTTGCAGTAATATAAAGACCACTACATCATTTTTTGAAATATACTTTTATTAAAATAAACAATTATAAACAGGGGAGCGGCAGAAGAAATTAGAGAAAACTGATTTTCTATTTGGTGAAGATATTCTGTATATCATAAAAGGTTAAAATTTGCATATCATTGCAATGCAATTTTTTAATTCGGAGCTAAGAGTAACAAGAATTATTTAAATAGCCATGCAAATTAAAAATGCTATATTTCTTATTCACTTCAAACCTTCTTTTTACTCAACTATTTTACCTAAATTAAAATGACGTAAATATCTAGTTGCAGCTCCAAGAAATACATAGCAGTGACTCTTGAATTCACCAGAATTCTAACATGCGACTTCTGTTGACATGAAGCCTGGCCGTAGTCTAAGCTGCATTCATAAATACCATACTTTTGATTGTAATTTTATAAATAAACAAATAGTAACAATCAGTATTGACATTCATTCCTAGTGCTTATCAAAATTAATGCGTAGAACAAAACAACTAAACAGTAGTCTAGTGGACTGACTGAAAGCGGTAACAATATTTCTCTGCTGAATCATGTTTTAAGGATGAATTTACTAAGCAGATTGGCTGGCAGTTGCACTAAACTCTGGGCCACAAACGCGTCTATGAATTTGGCCCATTTCACTGCTAGGTATTGGAGCCGGGAAAGAAGTATTCACATTTTACGGCTCCAGCACACGGCTGATGAAAAGCATAGCATTTCAAAGAAAAGGCTTAAGAATTATTTCTCTAATTCGAACTTCCTTCTGGTACAAAAAAGTGAAATTAAGAAATGTATTTTAAATTGTATCGTTTGATATGCTTCGGAACCTTGTTTGAATGCATAACTTTGACATGTGGTACAATGTTCGAGAGCCTCTCGTAATAACTTTGACAGTGAGAGATTCTGAAAGTGAGACAGACAATGAGAAATACAGAGAAAAACTTTCAGACATTTTGTGAGCATGAACTCTAAATAAGAACAGACAGGAAAATGGCATAGAAAAAGGATATGATATCCAAGCACGAATGTAAGCACTGGGAAACGGCTAGCTGGCTGTGAGCATATCTGGTAAATTAATAATAAATACGTTAATTACTGTATTAATTAGATAGTTAACTTCGCAGTAAATAGACTCCCTGCATGCCTGGTTTCAAAGAAAATTATGAACTTTGGAGAAATATATTAGATGTAAAGAATACATAAACCTTACAGTGACAAATCAATAAATATTAAGAAAGTTTATCTCCGATACAATGACCCTGCTAAGGTAACCTGGCACCTTTTAATGCATCAGACACAAACAGGGCATAAAACTAAATACTAATTATGATTAATTAGCCAATACAGCACACTGAGTGGTCAACAGCTGCATGTATAGTAATATTCATAACTAACTTACAGCAAAACTACTTCCAAAGTGGGTATAAAGGTGATGTTTTATACCATTAATTGATAACTAAATAAATCGATATTATAACACTAAGTCAAATTACTTTGATGGTTGTGCCCTTGTTTGATTTTATATGAACTTATTAAAATTATTACATTCTTTCCATCCTCAATCTCTGTGTACTCACATTAGTGTAAGTGTAAGCTTCTTCTGCAGTACATTCGGCCTTGTCTGTTGGATTGCTCAGCGCAAAAACTATAGGACGGTCACATGTACTTAACATCGATCGAAGCACCTTTTCTGTGAATACTGAAGGTTGTGCAGAAGCACCTGAAATAGAAACAGGATTTCAGAAAAACATACACATTAATGAACGAAATTATCAGAACACGAACAGAAACATTGATAGTCATATCCATTAATATAGGTAATTTTTGATGCATGTATTTCGAGACGCAGTTACAGACGTCAGCAAAAGAAATAAGACGACACATCAACTATGCCGTTAATAGCAGGCGAGTATCAAATAACGCATTTAAATATTTTCGGATCAGTGATTGAATTTCAATGTTTCAAGACGCATTAGTTTTACCTTCTTCGAAAGTGTATTGAATGCTCATTCAGTAAAACGTACACACTGGAAAAAAAAATGGGACTGTTCTACTGGACCGATTGTCGAAATTTAATTTGAGTTTTCCATGTCTCGAAAGCGCGACTTAGGATATATATTCGATTTATATATAGCATTGTTCTAACATATGTATTCTGACACAAAATCGGACTTTTTATGAAATAACATGCCATTTCTTGTCCGTATTTCCATTCTACGACTTAAATGGATTTCTGCAGTCAGTCCGTTCACCGAGATTTCCTTACAGCGTGGCAGAACATTCTTCAGATAACGATTAATGACCTCATTAACAGCATGCCAAACACAGTGGATTATTATCCAGAGTAGCGATCTCGTTTGCCCATGCGTGAAGTGCCAAACATGTAGCAAGTTCTGTGCATATTCAGAAAAGCGAATTTGAAATGCTGCCAAGTGACCAATGCCCGATCAATTAATTCAACACAAATATTATATAAAACTCAGAGAGGAAAAAATCTACTGTAGCGCAGCAACACATTTTTATTCGAAATTTGGAACAAATATTGGCAATCTGCAGTAGAATAGTTAAATACATAACGCTTCTCATTTTTACCAAGTATAGATTTTAACATACAGTTGTCAGAGATTCTTCAAAGAATCTCTTAGCGTCAGTACTAAAAGAAGTAAAAATATCGCAAACTTTTTTTGATAATGTCAGAATACTTGTATCATATCCAGAAATTTAAAAATAATTCAAGTAAAAAGTTACTCTTTATTTAGAAGACAGGACTTGAAATGAAAGTATTATTTCTGAAGGCCTAAAACAAAAAATATTAGAAATGGTTAAAGAATCAAAGTAAGCTATTAATTTAAAAAGTAAAAATATTTTAATTCTTGATATTCCCGAACTTGAACCATACGGTATGGCGAAATAACTGTTGCATTATTAAGATATTTGTTTATTATAATGAAGAGAGTACCTTAGAAATATTTTAATGTTGTTTTAAATTTATATTTGCCCATGTTTGCTTTGGTTAATTCGATTTGGGCAAATCACAAAACGGCTATCTGCCTTAAAGAAGGGAGGATTTCGTGGAGGACATTCTAAGAGAAACTCTCGTATACACACAATTACATATGGAAAATCCACATGAGGCCAGTCCGTTCGCCACCGAACTATCATTGTTCAGCGAATTTGCCGTTCGGCCACTAGTGGGCTTATTTGGACAGAAATATTCGAATTTTTAAGTGCAAATGCGCAATTAAAGGGTACATTTTATCAGTTGCTGTGTAATGGCTTAAACTAGTTATTTACCTATAAGTACGGAAGGTTTAATATGGTCCATCATTGCTTCTAAATCCTTGGTGGCAGCATGGTCTTTTGCATACAGCACTTTATGTCCGTTTAGAGAGGACGGGTCTCGATCCTAAAAGATAATAATGACATCATTCATTAGAAATTAGTTTGCATTTTCGTAATGAATTATATAATATTTTGTGGCTTTCTTCAATTAAAAATTTTATGAATTATTTTATTTTGCCATGATTATTTACTCTTTATAAATTTATAAAGCATTTTCGTTTTAACTCGCTGCATATATCAACTTATTTGAAATGATGGCAAAAAAAAATTACTTTCAGTTTGGTTTTCTTAAATTTGGCAAAGCACTCCAGGGCTATCTGCAGAAGGGAAGGGATGCCTTCGTGGAGGACTTTCTAAGTGAAACTGGCTCGTACACACGCTACGCATGGGCAAAACCACGAAAACGCCAATACAGCCGGGGCCTTTTGCCGAGATTCGAAACCCGGACCGAACTTGTTTTCGACTTCATTAAATTTTGTCTCGACATATTATAAAAAGAAATGTCAGCAGGTTACCTACGTGACATTAAAAATCATCAAAGCACCCCAAAAATTATTTTGATGAAACACATGAATGGAACCTCCAACTGAATTTCTTTTCAGTTTAAAAATCAGCACTATAATATAACATCTGGCACTTAAACTCAGCCTGTTTAAAAAAAAAAAAAATAGAAGCATTCTCTGCTTATACTAAAATAATAATTGATTTTAACTTTTAGTTTGAAAGCTTCATAATCTGGATTACTGCAGATGCACTTGATCAGCACATCTTACCATCGTGTTTTCATGGATTGTGCTGTGTGCATCCTGCTAACACGTTCTAAAATTACCATGCCTATATAAATATCTTTATGCTTATATTACGTATAACTACTGATACTTATTTTTGAAACAAAAGATTGATAATTTAAATAATGCTCCAGGCTCATAGCTACCATCTTTTTGAGAAGGCACAGCGACTTGTTCACAGTAACCAAACCAAAATACACAAACCTACGTGATTGTGTGGCTCGTGAAATCATTTTATAAAATGCTGTGCTTATCATCATATAAATTTCCTTATCTATTAAAAACAAAAAGCTATGTACTAGCATTTTCACCTTAAATAATCAGTCTCCGTGTTATAAACACAATATGAATAGCCTATCACAACCGAATAGATAATAATATTAGAAAAAATAGTTGCAGCATACAAGAGAAACACCAGAAAATGGAGTAAAATAAACCATATAAAAAAGTAGTGCACCATTTAAAGCTGAAAACTTGACTTAATTTTGACTCCTTTGAATATAATTCAAAAACTTTTTTTCCAAAACAGTCGGACTCTTGCTTTGACAGAGAAAAGTATTTTTTAATATCTATTTTTCTGCTTAAAAAATGTCCCATTTTATTTGCATATACCTGGAAATACATAAAACCTTCATCCATGTACATATTTCATTTGGTTTGGTTGATATGATTATGGCAAAGCATGCCAGATTTATCTACCTAAGGGGAATGATGCCTTCAAGCAGTACTTTCTAAGCGAAGCAGGCTCATATCCACATTACACATTGTACATTTGATTTAAAATATTAAAGGAACGTATCTTCCAAAAAATGTTGTATGTTGATATAAGTAACCGTCTCTTAGTTGTTCAAAGAGCACATTTAAATTTCTTGTAGTATTTATGTCGTACAGAAATGAATGAAAAAAATGTTGCTACAGAGCGGAATACAATTTATTAAAAAAAAAAACTGATAGTACGTCAGTTAGAAGTAATCCCCGCCCATGTCAATACACTTCTGCCATCTAGCTGGGAGGTCCCGAAGGGCTTTGGTAAACAGTCTGTGGGAGAGTTGGTGCGCCATCTATGAACAATTGCATGCAATTCGGCAGAAGATTCGACATGTTGTCCCTTGACTGCATCCTTCATGTAGTCAAGCAAGGTGCAGTTCGAGATTAGAGGTCCACCCACTTTGCACACACATTTGTCATTTCAAAATCACCATGCACAATCGCCTTGCAATGTTTCTAGCGCAAGCCCTGTCTCTTCCATCTTATTGAAAGTTATGCGCCTTTTCGCGATGATCAAATCAGACACGACTGGTGCATTTGTTACTGTATGCGATGTTGCTGGTCATCCCGCGCTGGCACCTTTGCCTGTGGTCTCCACCCTACTGCTGAACTTGGCCAACCAACTGGATACAGTACACACCTTGAGGGTGGTTTGTTCCCACACACCGACACCATGCGACGATGTATCTTACTACATCGTCGCATGGTGTAATCCCATCGATCTACGACCTGTATCCTTCCACAAGAACCATGCTGTCTACCGCTGACCATGATAATCACCTTCCATCATTGCTGTCCATGCTCTCAATGACAACGGTGAAAGGGACGGGCGCCGACTTATACCGTTTGCTTGCGGCCAGCTCCATCTATACATTGAGTAGCTCAAGGCTCCTTTGTGTTTATTTCATTTGTTTTCTCTTCTCATAATGTAATAGTTTCGTTGTGAGAGCCATTGTGTTAATCATTTCTGTACGATTCAAATACATCACATGAGGATTATACACTAGTGGTGGAATGCCTTTGAGGAGAATTTTCTTTAGAGAAGGCAGTAAGCGTTGACGTAATATATGGAAAACACTACCAAACGCTAATGCATGCCAGCCGTTCAACCACTGGGCACTGAAACCGGGAAGAACTATAATCTGTAATTTCAGAATAGGTACCTCAAGTCCATTTCCTACACCCAAACCATGACTCATAACCATGCTAACGACTGCCGCGGAATCTACTCCTCTAATTTTCTAAAATCCCCTAATTTCCTCTACGTGGTAATGACAACAGACATTACGATCGCAAAATGGGAGAGGGTGGTGTCTGTCTATTTTAAAGAAACAGATTAAAGTATTCTGGGGCTTCAGTCGCTCGCCATAGGTTAATTGTTACATATCGAACAAATCTTTTAAAAAACTATTTATAGGGAAATCTTACTTTCACTACGAGTCCTCTCGAATCGAACATCCATATTCTTGCTGCTGCATCTTCCTTAGTTAGACCTTCTTCCTCCATTTCCATAACCAGCAAGTCGGCTATACCCAGAGCTGCCTTAAATAAAAAAAGATAATGCTTGTCATTAACTACAAGTTTTGAAGCGAAGAGGTTCACGCAAATGAATTACAAAACTAAATATATAAAAATTCCACACCATCTAATAGTCCAGATTTTAGTTTAAATTCTGCAGGTACTTCAAATAAAAATTTTAATTCAATATGATCCGATTAATTCTATTATAATCATGTCTCTCACGTCATATGCAATACCCAAACACAGCTACAGAACAAGAAGTATTACAAAGCCATTATGCTATAAAATTTTACCAACCATTTGTATTGCCTTTTTTATGTAGATATTTAAATATTTAAGATATTACAAATACTTAACTGAATTTTTTTCTCATGTTCCCAATTAACATCTTCCTAATTAATCCTATCTTCAAAAGAAAAGATGTGCTACGTAACTTCCCAAGGTAACTTCAAAAATTCATTTGATTTAAGAAATGCCACTAGGTAATTTGCAATTGTGGTAAAAAACGAAACGAATCAGGCTGAGTTAAATTAAAACACTGATTTTAACATTTTTATGATATTTTCACTCCTTTATTAGCCCAAAGGAGCATTAGCTCAGCTTGCCTATTAGTCTCGAAACGGAATTTTGCGTCGAATTACTAAAGGCATTGAATCACTTTTGAAACCGTTGCCATTAAATATTATCGTCCTGTATTACATTTAAGCAAATTAAATAATAAAGAATCTGCATGAATGAATTTTCTTGCACTGTGAAAAACCAATGGTACCAGGAGTCATCAAATTTTGAATAACGTAATTCTCAACCGGAATATGGGCACATAAAAGCCCGAATTTCGAATTTGTTTTATTATTCATTTCATATTTTGCAAATCTTTAACGAATTTTTTTATTGAAAAAAACTGAACGATTTGAAAGCAAGCAGTAGCAACACTGCATGGAATAAAACATTTTTATCTCCAGCGCGCGAAAATGTCTATCGCAAAATCTAAAGATATGCTGTTTTAAAATACTTTTAACCCAAAGGGGCATTAGCCCAAATGCTCTCGAAACGTGTATATGTGTGCAAATGAAAAAAACGCACCTTTGGGCTAATATAAAATCTGGAAATTCAGATTTTTTTTAATTTTATTTATTTTTAATATAAGAAAAATAAGCTTGTCTAACTGAATTTAGATATCAGCAGTATGAGGTAATGTTCATTGAAACGTTCATTGATACATGCAACAAATGAATGCTAATTTTGAATGTAGGCAAGATTCAACCTCAGCCTGCTTCCATGTTTCTGAAGGTTAGCAGATTACTGCTCCTCAGAGGAGATATAGTCGTGTTAATTTGTCGCCGAAAATTCCCAGTTTCAGTAAAAATCTACGTTTGAACTGAATTAAACTTCAAACTTCAGTGTTTAGGTAATCAATGGCTAGCTGATCTGATTTATTTAGATGAAGCCACTTTTAGCTTATTTACATGAAAAGTTCTCTTAAATTACCTTTTCACAGAAAGGTTTTTTTCGAGAGGAAATGGCTCATATATCTCACATGAGAGAAAGTATGAAAATATTCATGAGGGTGATATGTTCAGCCACCGGGAATGGAAATTTGGATGAAATTATACTTTCTTAGTTTTTAGTGGTTATTCAATTATGTAATAGGTCTGTTTGTGTAATGGGACAGATGTCTTGATTTCTCTTAGAGTATTTTCTAAGTCACAAGCATTTACATTATTCATGGAAAATACCATAACATTGGTATGCACAGGAATCCACTGAAATGTCAGGAACTAATTAATCACTTTTCATGTCTCTCTTGTATTCCGGACACACTCAGAAATAAAAATTTCAGATTCTATTGGAAATACTTATTGAAAAATATCCAAGTTGAGTGATTTCTTTCAACAGTTACTTTCCTGTTTTGATGAATATAAATGTCTGTATACTTGCATCTACGTCTACAAAAGAAATTCAGTTTTCTTCCGTCGAAGTGCGGAACAATCCGGCCAATTTACTGATATAAAATATAACTGTTATAAAAGTCATGTTATGGTCATGCGTTGAAATATTTCAGCCACAAGCGCTCTGCTGTTTTGCATAAAATGGAGCTTTCGTTTCATCTTGTCATACTGTACACCCATGTCTACAGGTTGTTTCAAAAGGTAGTTGCCAAAATTAACATGCTGGTCCGTTATATTATGACAAACAAACATAGGTATTTGTGACCCGAACGGCGAACGCTAGGGGCCAATGTTCTCAGGCTTTTTATGGGAGAGCGGGAAGTCTGATCATTTCAGGCGAGGTCGTTGCAGGAGAAGATGAATCGATTTACTAACTTAGTTCTTCATCGACAATTTGAGTGTTGACGGATCTGATGGTTGACGTTCCAGCACCTACACGCTGAAACAGCAGGTTTCAGCATGATTTAGAGCCTGCACATTTTAGCAACACTATACGGGAATACCTCGATAGGACATATCTTGATCGCTGGATTGGCAAAAGCAGACAAGTTGCATGGGCACTGTGATCCCCCTACCTGACTCCCATGGATTTATGCCTGTGAGGATACATGAAATCCATGGTGTATGAGATGACCGTAACATCGGTCATATAGAGCTCGTCGGCAGGATTGCGGCACACCTGTCCATTTTAAACGGGTTCGTGAATCCATGCGTCGACGTTTTGAAACATGTAGTTTGGCGAATGGAATGAATTTTGAGCATCTTCTATGATTTAACCATGTTCTTTAATAAATGTCGTACAAACACCTCTTTCGATATCCTTTCTTTCTTCCCCTCTACGCTTGCGAACATTGTCTTCTAATGGTCGCCGAGACATTAGTCGTGCAGTGCTCAAATTTTTTAATCTCCTTAAAAATATAATAAGCTACTGTTTTCAATTTTATATGCACATTTTTCTATCTTCCTATTGCTCTATCCAGCTTTTGTTGTTGTCGTTATTGCTACTAATGCCCATTTGGCTGACCAATAGTCAGCCTAAGCTTACAAAATTCCTCGTGGGAAGGAGCGTAAGATATGCCTGTCATTGGCAACAGTCTTTAGCATTTTGACAGTGTGACAGTGTGATTTAGCTCAGTTCTGCCCCCCAATTTTGATGGAGAGTATACCGGGAGGACGCGTCCGAGGATCTGCCCCTCTTTTCCTAGGACTTTCGGCTCGCCGCATATTTAAAGTACCAACATGCCGCACGGGCACTATAAACTTACAAACATGAGAGTCTGTATTCTTTGTTTCTCCGCATCTCATCGGTCAGTTCATTGACAACAATGCTCGTTTCAGCACTCTTTTCGAAGCACCACAGAAATAAACGATAAATAGTTGTACAAACTTCATAAAATTTTACTTGTGTACTCCTCTAGGCGTAATTATACTGCCTACCTTTTTTTTTTTTTTTTTTTTTAAATCAAAACTCCGCCTTTAAAAGGTAGCGTGCCGGAAAGGGTTAACAAATGGCATTAAATGTCAAACAGTAATCCAAAGCTTCCATGCCCCCTCGGAAGCAGAAAATGTAAACGACTATTATCATCATTTACGTATTCTACCCTAAGGCACTACACGGAAAGAAGGATGCCTTCGCGGAGGTCTTTCCAAGGGAAACTGACTCGTTGGTCAGCCTATTAGACTTACAATTTTCTACTTTACTGGCGAACCCTGTATAAAATTCTGCGAAAAAAAAACTATTCAGATAAAACAATGGAATGAATGAAATATTTAAAAAGACAATGAAGGTTGGTTAAAGAGCATAAGTTTCACGATAAGTTCAAATTTACCTCTCCAGCTCCATAGAATAGAAAGGTGTGCTCGGATACTTTCGTGCCTGTTATTTTCACACTGGCCAAGATACCAGCCACAGCCACGGACGCTGTACCTGCAATAAGAAATATAAACAAATATTTATGACATGCAAGAGTTAAGTAACAAAGTATCATTAGTTATTATTTTTACCTAAACTGCATTTGTTTTAATGGGGTTTTTTCACGGGGCTTTTTCACACATTGAACAGTTCAGGTATTTTCAACTTTTGTATTCATATTTCTGAATGAAATGGATAAAAGAAAACTAACACTATTTGGGTGCGTAAAGACTCAATTTTTATGCGTAGTTGCATAAAACGGAACATTATCAAAAGAAAAATAGTTAATTCATTGTTAATGGGAGACCCAAGTTGGCGTTTTCCGATCTATTACGATAAGACTAATTAGAGTCTTGACAATTCATGCAAGAATTTGCAAAACAAAAGTTAAATATATGCTTTGGATTTTCTAATAAGGGATAACAAAGTTTATATTTATTACATATGCTTTCTCTTCCTCAATGAGCTCCTCATGGCGATCTACTTCGACGGTTATCTAACAATACGAGATAAAATACTTTGCGGAAAATTCCGGGAAGCGGAAAACAAACAAATGCTAAAAGGAAATACTGCATATGCATTGGAACAAAAGAAAAGGAGACACATATGGTATATCTGCAAATTTCATATGGTAAGTCTTCACCAAGGATATTGTTTTCAGGCATATCATACTAAAAAAATTAAATGTTTTTATAAAATATTTTATTATCATTGTATAACAAATAACATGTGGGAATGAAGACCATAAGTTTTCTGAAACGGCTTAGTGAGTAGGCATTCGTTAAGAATAGCCCCAAAACCACACCATAATTTAATGAAAGGCCAAATGAAATAGGTACGATTGTGAAAATTTACACATAGCTATTTGAAAGTATTTAAAGTACCTTTCAGAAACTCATCGGAAAGCATTTTATTAACAAGGAATTATGAGGAATTCACATCAAAAGTTTCTTTTCAGCATATATTCTTGGATTTAATGTTTGCAACATGACAACAGAACATGAAATAAAAAAACTATTGTTCATTTTTCAAAGACGTATACCATTATAAATCCAAACCATCACCACCTACTCAATACATAACACGTTGCGCTACCTTCGGCCTGCAAAATATCTGCAACTCACCTTGGCATGGATGCCACAAGTTCCTGATAGATGACTGGAGACAGGTTGTACCAAATGTACAAGCAGCAGTTACGCGAAGTCGAGAAATTTCGACATAGCGATGTTTGAGTTCTGAGCTGCCGCTCCATGATATCCCAAATGTGCTCTATCCGGTTAAGGTCCTGCGAGTTAGGCGGTCAAGACAGTAATTGGAATTCATCCTTATGCTCCTCAAATCACTCTAACACAATTCCAGCCTTGTGAAATGGGGCGCTGTCCTGCTAAAGATTCCACTTTCAGTTGTGAAGACAGACACCATGTAAGGATGCAAATGGTCCACAATCATGTCTAGATTGGTCATAGCTTTTAGAGTCTGTTCTACAATACCTAAGAGTCCCAGAGCCGTCCAGTGAGAACGCTCCCTTCCCGAACGACAATGACGCTTGGACAACAGACGCACACGAGTGGGCATTCCGTATCCAGTGTCTGCTGAATTGTCCGCTCCGAAACACTTGCAGTTGAACCTGTACTCTATAGGCTGAGCCACTGTTTGGTGCTGAGTTTTCTGTACAAAGCGGAACAATCTCCGATATGCCTTTTCTTTGATGACGCATGGACGTCCAACACCTAGTTGTCTATTGCTGATTTCACAGTCATTTATCCGCTCTGTAAAAATACCAACAACGACAGATCGGGAACAACCTATCAGTCTTACAGTTTCGGAGATACTCGCTTTAAGTCTTAGGGCCGTTACAATCTGCCCTCTATCAAATTCGCTTAGATCAGCAGCCTTTCCTATCACTCGCAAAAGTAAGTTTAAGAATGACTCATTACCTTCTCTAGCAGCAGTTAAATACCGTTTTCACTTAATAACGTGCCTGCCACGTCATCCAGATGATTTGATTGAAAAATCTGGAGATGGTCATAATGTTTTCCCTGGTAAGTGTATATAAAACTTCACCATCATACTGAACGAAGACATTTATAAACGAGATGTGTTCAGAGTAATACCCATTAATTCAGTATTAGAGAATAAGAATTCGAAGTTTGGAAAGTTGAATTCTATAATGCATTAAAAAGGTTTATTTTTTATAAGAGACAACACAGACTTACCTTGTATATCATCATTGAACGTGCAGTAATCATCATTGTATTTTTCCAATAAACGAAAAGCATTTTGATTGCCAAAATCTTCGAATTGGATTAAACAAGATCTTCCGTACCTAATGAAGTAAAATAATATATACACAGTTTACCACTTTTAAATAAATGCTACTGAATTCTGTTCTGCATTTAAACAGAACTGCTTTTGAGAGAATTTTAAGACTTCAAGGTTTTCAACTCAAGGATAGCATATAATTAAGGCACTAACGTCCCAAATACAGAAACGTAGCCAAGATTAATATCATCCAATTTAAAAATGGAAACATGAATTCTTAAAGGTTTGGTTTGGTTTATTTAATTATGGCAAAGCACACTAGAGCTATCTGCCTAAGGGGAGGGATGCCTTCGTGGAGGACTTTCTAAGGGAAACTGGCTCGTATACTAGTTACACATGGGGAAAACCACGAAAACGCCCATGCAGCCAGACCGTTCGCGGGATTCGAACCTCGGACCGAAGTACCAGTGTTCAGCGACTTTACCGCTCGGCCGCTGGTGGGCCTGAATTCTTAAAGAAAGGTAATAAGGAGTCATGTAATAATATGTAATGGGTATTTATATATTAGCGCAACCATAATAACAATTCTTTAGGCAAACAGGCGCAAAACATTTCATCAGATTTAACATAGTCACCATTTTCTAGTTTTATTTTTTTGTTCGTATTTATCTAAAAGAGTTTTTATAAATAAATTCTCCATCAGTTCGATTTAGTACATGCGCTTGAGGGATTTGCTTTCAATGAAAAAAATATATTAAAATTTGCGGAGGAGTGCAATATTTTCCTGCGAGGTCAACAAAGATCAACAGTAGCTTTAAATTTGTTTCTTAAAGTGATCATGAATGTTTCACCAGAATAGGGGGAAAAGATTTTTGGGATAAATTTCCGAGTAAAGCGTAAAATATGTATGTGGTAATTATGTAACAAGTGAGGTTTTGCAATTATAAGTCACCGCATTTTTTTCTTCCGTGAAATTTCGTCAAACTGAGCCAAGATGGTTAGGCTAGTACGTACTTTTCTCAGACAGTCTTAAAAATGATTATATTGAAATGTTTCATTTATAGTGCTAAGTTAAACATTTCGAAGTTTCACAAGCAAAATCTTAAATAAATTAATTAGCACTAACAAAATATGAAACTGTTTAAATTAAAATTATTAAATTATAATGAAATTGTAGCAGAAACTGTAAAGACTTGTTAAAAGCCCGTAGAAACTAATGAAATTTTTTTCTCGTAACTAAAGCTTGCACGACTAACCTTCGTTTTATACCTTTATAACTCGTCTTAATGATTAATATGAAAACCTCAGTAAGATTAAAAACTTATGATATTATTATAAATATAAAACTTCATTGAAAACATTATCATTTGGCTGCTGATGGGTCTATTACTAAAGTAAAGACGTGAAATTTACATACAGTTGCGACTGTAAATACGTTTACAGTCGTCGAAAAATTACGACAAGCACGCTAAAACAATCAGCAGCACAGCCTTCAGTCTATCAGGGTGAAGACAGCTTCACGACAAAGCACTAGAGCAGGGGTTCTCACATGTGGTACACAAAGAAGCAAAGTATTTTGAACTATTAAATTCAAAAATTAAAACCCCCAACATCTTGATTGTTTCTCTAACACTCGTAAATTTATGCGATCTAAGATTATGTTCAAGAGCGGTTGTGGTGGTGGTAGTAGTACTTTGCAGTAGTGGAACTAAAGGTTTTCAATTTTTGTTTAGATGGTACGCGTCAAAAGGTTGAGAACCGCTTGCACTAGAATACAGCTCCCGACTCGGTTCGGTCGTTCTCGGAACTCAACGTACTCTCGACTCTCCACGCTACAATTCGTGATGCACTCGACGATACACTCGATAGCTTCAACGATGCACCAACTTGCGATACACTCGACGACCAGTTCGACAGTAGACTGCTACTCCGCGTACAAGAAGGGTTTATGTAGCTTTTTAGGCTTCGTTCCAGAATGTTCTCCAACCATCTATGGCATATCACCAATTTCGTCGTAAATTGGGCAAATTTCGCGCCAAGTCTGGCAACCCTGCCTTCCTTTGTGATTTTCTGGTAACCCTAAACTCGCCTTGCCTGGAAGCTATCTTAACGCAACTGGATATTTCGTAAGAATACATATTATATAACTTAATATTGAAAACACTGAATGAGTCAACAGATAATTTTATCTTCTCCAATCCATCCGAAATACTCTTCCGATTCAGGTACACTGAGCCTACAAATCTGCAGGATGTCTCACAAGACAAATATAACACAGATTAATCGGCAGTTTTGAAGATACTGAAGAAGTCACCAAAGGGACCGTAGAAAAACACCGTACCAAAGGAGAAACGATTTAGGTAGTTACTTCCTGCTAAATGAGAGGAAGTGAAAAATTAACATTTACGTGTAATTGTGAAAGTGATAACTGTTCTGAGGGTCAAACTGTTTTTGCCTCAGGCATTAAAATAAGTTTGCAGTATTAAGTCACAGTCGTGAAACTCGAACCTGGCAAGGATGAAGAGTTTGGTACCTCTTTTAGAAAAAAGGTGAAAAATTTATACTTTGCACTAAAGTTGTTATATAGTAAAATACAGTAGTTTTCGTCGATTTCCAGAATTATAATGAAATGGAATTTAATTGTGAATCTTCACGCCTGAAAAAAAGATTTGGGAGAAAGATAAACCCATGATTGTCTACAACATGAATAGTGGTTCATTGATGCATATAAATAGTACAGTAGGTTCAGATGGCACGAAATCGATCAAAAAAGTGCGATGATTACCTTCTACCTGAAAGCGATATATTAAAAAATAAGTCCATTTATAAATGAAAAATGAATTTTTCCTAAACCTCCTGAAAATCAGATCTTCCATGCAGAGAGCTATTTTCAATTAGTTCTTTTGTTATTCGCTTTTAAATGAATCTGAAAATACGTCAAAACTTTCCTGCATTTTAGTTTTATTGTTACAGCTGAATGATTTAAAATGAAGTTATAAGAATTTTGCAATGGATCGTATGTAATCATTGTGGTGATATTTCATTTTATTTTGTAATTTTTGTAGACTTAAAGCTACATAAACGTAGTCACTTACCAATTGAAATACTTCGATGAAACAGATAGTTATTTTATTATTACTAGTGGAAAATGAATGTACTCTAATAAAATAAACAAAACTAATTTAATAAAAATGTGAAAAGTTTCAGATTTTAATTATGCCTAGAGGGGCGTTTTCTTAACGTTTTATATGTTAACTTTGTTTATTAAATATCATATTCTTCGCACTTGAGCCATAAAATTCAGTTTAACAGCAATATCGAAAAATAATTTTAAAACAACCGCATCTTTAGAATTTCCGATATACAGTCTCGCGCGCTGGAGATAATTTTTTTTATCGTACAGTGTTGCCATTGCTCTCTTTCAAATCGTCGAGTTTGCTAATAAAAAATTCGTTAAAGTTTTACAAAATATAAAACAGATAACGAAACAAATTCCAAATTTGGACTTTCATATGCCCATATTCGAGTGGAGGAGTAAGTTATTCAAAATTTAATGTCTCTAGATACCGTTGTTTTTTCACATAGCGAGAAACATACATACATTCATGCAGATTTTTCATTCTTTCATTTCTTTAAATTTAATGCAGGGTTCTAATATTTGGTGGCAACAATTTGAAAAGTGAAACGCAGTTTATAGTGAAGCAACGTAAAATGCCAAAACGAAATTAGTAACCTTTCTGAAAAAATTGGCCCTGTTGGCTAATAATTTCAAAAACTTGCCTGGTGCGCAAGTTTGCGATGTTGTTACGTATCTTTTATAGCTAAAAATTTGTTAAAATTATTCTTACAATTTTCAGGTCTCACAAATCACTGATTATTGCTGAATATTATTAGCTCGACCTGGGTTCGAACCCAGGCGAACGGGTCGGCTGTATGCTTTATTTTTCTGAATTTATGATGTATACATGAGCCTATACTTTAGAAAGCCCGTTATAAAAGCATTCCTCTTCTTAACTAGATAGCCTTCGTATACTTTGCCATACCTCAGTTTACCTAACCTTACAATTCTAAAAAATAATTAATATTCTCTTGTTGCCACGAAATTTTCCAAAATTTTTAGTAGTGTTTCTATACTTGAAAAAGTATTCATTTTTTTAAAAAAATTGTTCATCAGTGGAAATAGCTTTTTGTTTGATTTCATGGCATACTGACGGAATTATAAAAAGCTGCCCCAATGATCTAACGTAATCTAGGAATTATACTGCATACATTAGAAGTTTTCCATATATAAAATTTTGTTATGGGAATAGTTAATATGTTCTAGCGAGTCAGAAATAGTGTATTGTCTTACCTTTTAACTACAGCTTTCATGAACTCATCTATCAGTTCATCATATTTCTCTCCATTCACTCTTTTCTGCTTTAATCCAATGTAAAGTGGGTCCGCAAGCAAAGCCTATAATTAATTAAAAACATTCTTAATCCCGTCATGAATTCATTTGCAATAATAAGAGTGTCTGGTCTACAGATAAATTAACATTCTTAATCATGAATTTAAATTTTCCTGAACCTGTGCCTAAACTGTAGCCGAAAGTATTCAACAAGCCCAAATTAGGAACAAACAAAAAAAAAAAAAAAAAAAAAAAAAAAAAAAAAAAAAAAAAAAAAAAATGTGCAAATAAAATTTTATTTCATACGCTGGTCAAGTAGTAGGAGGATAATTAAAAACGTATTTGTGCATTTTAGGCATATACAGTAAAATTTCAAATATAAAACCTAATTAGAACTTTATAATCGGGGCGGATTGAAAAATTCCAATTATTCAGGCACTTATACCAATACACAAGTACGTATAAGCATATAATTTTACTATTATTTTAGTTAATCATATTTTACTTAAAGCTACACGCTTATGAAATATTGTAGCAAAACAAAAAATACTCTTTAACAAGCTTAATTAATGAAATTATTTTCTATTTGCACAAACATATAATCCTTTTGTACACCGCTGGCCACCCAAATTGCAACGAAAGACAAGAGATATCACAACAAAATTTATTTAGTAGATAACATGTTGACCAAGTATCAAATGATTAAATTTATAGACTTCTGTGAAGTGTGGTTCTTTCCAGAATCAGTAGCCAGAGTAGCCATTATTGTTGGAGATCACAGCTGCCACACGCCTCGGCATTGATTCAAAGAGACTTTGGATGTGTTCTTGGGGTACAGCAGACCCAAACAGCTTCCACACGTTGCCAAAATTGATCTGGTGTGGCAGCTTGGGGTGTATTCTGGGTCAGTCGTTCAACAATCATGGACCACGTGTTTTCTATTGGATCCGGAGATCAAGCCGGCCAGGGAAGCAATTCAATCTGGCGATTGACGAATAACCATTGGACAATGCGTGCCACGTATGGTCGCGCATTATCCTGTTGAAATATGGCTGTGGGCAAGCCCTGAAGGTAAGGAAGGACAACTGGCTCCCACACCACGGAGATGTAGCGCTGGCTGTTAAAGTACCGGCAATGTGTATTAGAGGAGTGCGAAAGTGATATCCAATACCGCCCCATACCATAATACCCAGTGCAGGACCAGTGTGCCGGTGCATAACGCAGCTGTTCAGCATCCTCTCTCCACGGTGTCTCAGACTGGATTCCGACCATCGTGGTGTTGCAGGCAGAAGCGTGACTCGTCAGTAAAGACAATTTCATTCCATTCTACCGTCTACATCCTTCTTTCCTCGCATCATTCGCGGCGGAGACGTCTGCGGTTCTGCGTCAAGGGTTGATGAAGCAATGGACGTCTTACGGACAGACTACTCGGTTGTAAAGCGCGTCGAATGGTACGCGCAGACACTGGATGATGCGTTACAGACTGAATGTGCTGTGCTATGGTTCGTGATGTGACTGAGCGATCCGTCACTGCCATGCGTACAATTTTCCTGTTATCACGTGAAGTGGTGCACTGAGGTAGATGCGATCGAACACGTAGGTCCGTCGTACCCTCCTGCATCCAACGGTCACATATTATTCGCATTACAGTTGTTTGGTTTCGTCCAACAAACATGTCCAACGACTAGCCGAGATTTCCCTCTGAAAGATAATCCACACTCTCGGTAGGCCACTAACCTTCCTCTGTGAAAACTCGAACTTGGATACTTGATCAAACGATGATCGCTGTTTACTAAGAGGCATAATTGATCGTCCCCCCCTTTTTTTTTTTTTTGAAAAATTGCAAAAAAGAAAAACACAATTGCCGAACTTGAAATGTCGTCGATCGAAAACTCCAAGCCTTAAATAGCGCTTTGAAGTGGTGCACCACAGGTGCGTGCATGTGATGTGCGTTCTGCACTGAAATTCTACTCATTTGCATAGCTCACCTCCGCTAATGCATGTTGTAAATTTCATGTTATTTGCATGCTTCCTTCAGAGTGTTGCATTTACAGTGGCCAGCAGTGTATTTCAACAAAAATAAAGAGTACTTACATTTTATCTCGTCGACTCACCAAATAGCGTAATTTAGTGCCAATTATGGATGAATTCCAATTTCTTTAGAATTCCGCAGTAAAGACTGACGATTGGCGACTGTTGTCAAAATTTCCGCAAACGGTCGAAGGAATAGCAAAGATCAAATAAAGGCATGAAATAAACCTTTATATAAGCATATCCTAAAAACTCATTATATCATCGTTGTTCCAATACATTAAAACTACGCAAAGAAAGGTACTTACGAATTATCCCATCGACCGTTAGCGGAAATTTCGCAAAGGTCGCCAATCTTTACTGCGAAATTCCAAAGGAAGAGATCACCCATAATTGGCCGGTCAACGGGATAATAGTTAAGTACACAAAAAATTATTTTTTACTTGCGTAAAACAAAACGCATATTTTTTCCGTATTCAAATGGAATTAAATTTAGATTGAACTTGCATGATAAAGACTCTCTATGGTCCGTTAAAATAAGATGCTATATCAAATTGTCATTTTATTGAAAGGAGCATAGTATACAGAAGACCAGTTGAGGCTTATTTTTATATGTGGTCGTATCGGGGATCCTATAAACGTACTAAATTATATCAAATGTTTGCATACGCTATGTTACAAATTTATGACTTCAATAAGGAACGCCAAAAGTCATTACTTGACGTATTTAAATCAAAAACATTTAAAACAAGTTAATGAATTAATATGCTTAATTTTTCTTGGCTTAGAAAGATACCAGGAGAATTAAAAGTTGTTACATTTATCCAATTCTCCTCCCCAAATCAACTTCTTAATTACTTTTCATTAAGATTCTTTAGTGTAGAAATTTAGCACTGCCAAAATTTACATATTAAAACACTTCGGAAGGTGCATATTAACACTTCCGAATTTCACTTTAGCTGCTGTTATTCACTATAAACATAGAAGAGAAGCTATAATCTGTATGGATTAAAACTACGCAAGTATATGTGCAATGCTATAGCAATATACGGATATCAGTTTTCTAAGTGCGTAAGTGTATAATTTTATTAAACGGCAATAGGCGTTTTAATTTCCTGTCTGCACCATTTTGCATTCAAATGAAAAATGCAAAAACACGCGGCTCTTCCATAATTGATTTTTTGAGAGCTGGAACTTCAGTTATAAATTTTATTTAACTACAGAGATGACGTTTTTATCAGTTGGGAATAAACTTTTTATTTAATTGTAAAATCTCGTCTGAGATTTTGGACTCTGATCTCAAAATTTTCAGAAGGCGACATTTTCCGACGCTAAAAATCTGGTGAAGGCAAAGTTCAAGACCCCATCATGTGAAAAAACTACTATGAATCCCCAACACACGTGAAAGAATTCTGAAACGTTGTTATCGGCATCATGTATTTATCATGGATTAGGATACTTTGCAGTATAAATATTTAAGATACGGTTAATGGGAAGAATATTTTTACGCGTAGACAGACTCTTCGTTTGAAAAAAAAAATTATCTTTATTTGAAAAAATTTTTTCCTCTGGAAAATCAATTAGGGCACGCGTGTTTGAAAAGAGTCCATGTTACGAGAATCCAAGAGTTCAGAAACCCTCCGTCGTACCCATACTATCAGACGCGTGCTCATGAGGCTGATATCCGAGTGATTGAAAATTCTGTGTTATCTGTCAAGTTGAAATCAGGGTTTCCTGTCTGCTGCGTAGCACACGAAAACATACGTCAAAATATTGAGTTCTAAAAATACATATGACCCTGAAGATATCAGCAGGAAAAACTATATTTAGGAATATAGTAAACAGTCAACGGACGTATTTTAAAAAAGGAAAATTGAAACAAATCACTGTTTTTTGAAAACGTACGCTAAATGCATCAAAATTTCCCAACGTCGTCTTTAAAAGCATTCATAACGCAATTAGATTTAACGCAAAGCGAAATTATCCTTTGAAACACATAAAAAATATCCCGATTTTCTTATGAATCACTTTCTATTTGTGGTAAATAATGATTCATTTTTATCTTCTTCATTTACCTAGCACTCTATAAGAGCAAAAAATTAAAATCACAATTATATAGCTTACATATGATTGCAGTTTCATTCCAAATATTCGAATTAAAAATATATTGTATATCCAAATCCATAAGATTCATTTTTGTGAAAAAATACAATGAAAGCATTAACGAATTGGCAATAGCCTAGTAAAATGCCACAAATCTTGATGTAGTTTCTATAAAACTAAAAGCTAAAGTCGCTGAAATAATAATGGGAACATCAACATAAATTTATAATTTTCGAGTTGAAAAGATTTGAATCAAGATAATAAAATATCGATATTTGAGAAGGATTGAAATACGTCACTCTTTTGCTGTTCACCAAAAAACAGCTATTAGGTACCTGCAATCCAGAAAATTTAAATATAATTCCAACAGCTGGTCTATTTAGTCGATATGCAAACTGCCTCGGTAGACCGGCTGCCTAGGTGTGAAGAGTTAAATAAAGCCTCTAATTACACTATTCCTAAAAAATTACTCCTTCAGCCAGGAGTATTTTAATGCTTAACAGTTTCATCCTCTCGGCCATTGGATGAAGTAGGAAAACAAACCCCCCTTTTGTCATAAGCAAATTAAACAGAAACTTATATTTTCCTAAAATCTTCGATACGTGCATATTAATGAGTATTGGAAACTTTGGTTGGCCGATACGACAATTTCAAAGAAATAACTATTTTCTGGTTCTAATCATGCCTTAAATATGTATAGTCTTCTTTCAAAACATGTGTTTAGCTTTGTCTTAGTAGCTTGTAGAGACAGGTTTTTTTGGGGGGGGAAGCAGGAGATGATGAAAAAATAAGCAATGTCCTCGTCAGGGCTAGAACACTGGACCTCTCAAATACGCGCCGAGTACACTAACCGTTACACCACGAAGGCACGCAGAAAGGAAGAAGAAAATACCTTATATACACCCGCCACTGTAGCGTCATTAGGTTGTTTTTTGGACAGGAGACATGAAAAATAAGCAAAGCCCTCGCCGGAACTCGAACCTGGACCTCTCGAATACGCGTCGAGTGTGCTAACCGTTACACCACGAAGGTATGCAGAAAGAAGGAAGAAAATACCTTAAGCTTTAACATATTTCATCCTTCGACGTATTATATGTCTGATGATTCTTTATGAATCTAAGATTTGCCAAACGGTAAAGCACTATCCTTCTGAAAATCCAGTAAATTTAGTGAAAAGTCGAGAATTTTCTAATTCCCATGTAATTATATTATGCCCGTTTAATGGCATTATCACTAAGAAAACACAATATGGAATTGCAACACTGAAACGTCAGAATGAGAACAGAAAATTAATTTGAAGAAAAACCACACAACTGCGGCAAAAATTATTTATTGCTAATAGAAACATTTGGTTCAAATTTTGACCAGAACTTGATATGGTGGGTAAAACTGCTGCTACCTGCAGCAATTATCTTTGAGAAATTTGCATTACCGAAACACATGGAGAATATCGATTTCTTCAAACATTACCTAGGCTTCATCTGAAGTTACCAGTATGAATTAAATACTATGTGTAAGAACTGATGTTTCGAAAAATTCATGAAAAAGTTTGACCTAATACGAAGAGCAAGTTATGTTTAACTGCGTTTACTTGCTAATTTAGCTAAGATACTATTATTACTTTTCAAAGAATAATAAAAAAAAATCATATATTCCGCACTTCATTACTTTGAGGATTCTAAGAAATCCGCTGCAAGACGTATGGTAAAAATTCAAAGGACATTTCTGAAAAAGCATATTAACTTTTCCCTATGACAGTTTATATTATTAATGCCAACATCATCAGCTCTACCACAAAATCATTAATTTTTTTTTTTTTTTTTTTTGCAATCATCGTTTACGCATTTATAACCATTTCTATGCTATTTTCGAGAGTGTTACACTACGTTAAAAAAGAAAAAGGCGTATCCCATAAGACAAGTCGGTGAGAATTATTCTGAAGTCGTAACTAGACCTTCCCCAAAACTATGCACACGGCAAACGTTTTCAAACGCAGATTCGTGGCTTTGGCGGGAGGATATCAATTTCCTTGCAGTCAAAAAGAACCATTCACAACAGCAGACGTCTCTTAAACTGCAAAAAATTAATGTATCAACACAAAATTATAATGAATAAAATTTCCTTTACTGAAAATAGCGCTTAGTTATTTTTAAATTAGTGACCGTCACACTTAAATACTAGAGCTGCCAAAAATAACTTCCAAGTGTGCATCTCTTACAGTTGATAATTATTTTAAAGATTCTCTCACACCACAAGGTAGACAAAAACCAATTTAGCTTGGCAGAAAAACCATTTCCGGTGACAGTTTCAACATTCCTTACCGTCACGAAAAGCGACTGACGAAAATTTCAACACTTTAATGATAAGGTAGTATTTCCCTCCTATAATTATCCACATCCGCGAAAGGAATAAAAGCGTAGGGAAGTTCGAAAGAACAATTCGAAGTTTTCTCCGCGATCGTCAGAGACGAAACGCAGAGCAGAAGATCAAATGCATTGAAAAAGGAGATATTAGAATGGAGCATTCCTTACCTCGTTATTAGTTCCGACGTCCAGCGTGACAGGAAGCAGGGCCGATGGCGGAATTCCAGCCAAAGCAGTGTACAAAGCCATTTTCCCAACTGGAATTCCCATTCCGTTGGCTCCCAAGTCACCCAGGCCCAAAATTCGCTCACCGTCCGTCACGACGATAGCCTGAAAAAAAGAGAAAAATAAAGCTACTTATTTACTTTCTGAAATAAAGTCTGGATTTATAGAAAGCCTTCGTGGACTTTAAGGGAAACTGACTCGTATACATGTTACGGTGAAACATCGAAATCTGGAGAATGTCAAAATTCACATAGTCGCTCGGTGTATGTCCGAAATATTTTCCAAATACACTTATTTCTGACTTACACCGGTAAATGTCGACATTCAGCATGTACTAATGGGGAATGTTGAACATATAATAATATTATATTTTCTTCTCTGTAATTCAGTCACGAAAAAACGCACTTGAGACTTAAAATAAGAATATTAAGAACTTAAAACACACAGAACATTCAAAATGAGAAAGGAAAATAATAAGATGTTAAAATTTAATTATACAGTACGTTCTAAATGAGAAAATAAAATAATAGTAATAAAAACTTATAAATTAAATTACGTGATTCAAATCTTATTTATTGCAACAACTTAAACTATCTTCACACTTTATGACCTCTCTTTTAGACCTGCACCAAAGCATATCTGTGATTGTCGACATACACCGGTGAGGGTCCGAATGTACAAGAATGTAATGCAATATTAGATCTTTCACCGACGTATTTCGTGAACGTTGACATTCTCCGGTGGTGAAAGTCGACATTCTCCAATTTCGGTCTTTCACAGTAACATACACGTTACACAAGGGGGAAACCACGATAACGCCCATGAAGTTAACCATTCGCGAGATTCGAAATTCGGATCAAACTACCAGTGTTCGGCGACTTTACCGCTAGGTCGCCTACTGGGCCACACCCGCCTAAAGGGAGTGATGCCTTCGTGGAGGACTTTCAAGGGAATCGACTTACATGGCTCGTTATACATGGAGAAAAACACGAAAACTCCCATGCCGCCAGCCCGTTCTCCTGGATCGAACTACCAGTGTTAAGCAATTTTACCGCTCGGCAACTGGACCCATTCGCAGTTAGATCGGCTACTGTCTCAGAAGCGTGCAGCAAATTGACAAAGTAAATCCATAATGCCACCTTCCTGAACAAATACATTACGAAGAAATTATTATTACAAACAAATACATTACAAAGAAATTACAAAATTATTTCCTTTATTAGCTGCGTTTATTTTTTACTAACAAAAGCATATTCGTTATGAAAATTTCAAAAACGTACCATTTCTTGAGATTGTTTTTGACTCGGGCAAAAATAGAATCATACTGTTTATTATACTTTTTTTTTTTAATTGAGAACTATTTTAAGCGTATGATGACGGATAGATCTTCTTAATCTCATAATTTAGAAGACAGACGATTGCTTTAAAACAATTTCCGAACGGTTTTTACTTAGCGCCCACCTCGAATTATTTCAGTTTCCTCTCTATTCCCTCGAATGACGATACTTTAAGAATCCTTTGAATGTAACTTAAAAAGCACTGATTGAATATGTACGGGTACGGAAATTTTTTTTGTTATCTAGTACAAATAAACTCTTCTGACTTACATTTAAAAGTCTTCAGGCAATTTAGAAACAAGGAATAACTAAATATTTTTTTAAAGTATTCATTATAATGAACCTCAGAAAATATGCCCAGATTCCTGCCACGGCCCACGCACTAGCTCAGATGGAAAGAAAACACTACTTGCGAGGACTGACTTTCACTAGAGTTAGAGACTCGAGATCATGCGAGACGAACAATCTATAACTTGAATTTTGTATGTTCTCTTAGAACGAAAAATGAAATTCATATGCACGCAACTCGGATCAAAATATGCGAAGAATCGACTGGTATAATTGATACGATTCTTGCAAAGCTGCGTGAGTGTAATATTTCTGTAATCAAATTAATTTTTCAAACGTGTTCAAAGAACCCATATTTTTTAGCGTTGTTTCATTGCTCACTTGCTCCTTAATTTCATACTGCTCCTTGTACCTGTAAAGCCCCTATATCTTTTCAGCGTCCACTTTCATATGCTGTGCTTAAGGTGAAAAAAGAAAGCTTCACGGCAATACACGCAGCTCCCGATTAGGTCAATCGCTCTCGGAACTCAGCACACTCAAGATACTCTTCATAATAAAACTCGCGATACACTGCTACTCAGTGTACAGGCAGAGTTTATATAGCTTTTGGTCTGCCTTCGAGAACATTCTGGGCAAACCGGTAAGAATTCGCTCCAGAATATTCTATCTTCGTCTATAGCATATCACCTATTTTGTCGCCAAATGGGCGATTTTGCGTCAACTCTGGCAAACCTGCCTTCCCTTGCCATTTTCTGGCAACCCTAAACCGCGGAGAAGCTATCCTACCGCAGCTGAGTATTTTGTAACAATGCACAGCTGAAACTGAATGCATTCTCACTGGGCATTGGGTGGAGCAGATTAGAGATGAGGCTTCACTTATGTTTTAAATATTTATTTTCACTCTGCATTGGGGAAACGTTTGGTGTCAATGTTTCATCTGTATGCCAAGTGTAAAATATGAGTAGTGTCGAAAAATAGAGACAAAATATAGCCTAATCGATATCTCCCGATAATACAGTTTTATCCAAATCTGCAGTTGATACCATTCGAAAAAAATCAAGATCTAATAATTTCTAATCGGGGAAAGATTTAGGTAACAAGTTTAAAAAAAGCCAAGCATAAGGATGTTTCTGAAGCACTGCTGAAATCATTTAGCATTCAAAAAAGCTGCAATCTGCCATTTTCTGAACAAGTGCTAGTTATAATAAGTACTTTAGATAAAGTTAGAACTGTAGGAATGGAACTATGGCATGACATTTACATTGAGTAATTTATCGAGTAAAATAATTAACGCACGGTGAAATTGAAAAACAACGAAAACTAAATTTAGTAATCTCAAGCAATAACCGCAGTTAACCCTTAGTGTGATTTAAAAAAAAAAAAAAAATAGAGTAATTATTTACTTTTTCAGGAGACGTGGCAATGCAAATATTTGGGGGGGGGATTCATCAATTTTTAGGGACGTGATCAATTTTCTTCTAAACAGATCGGATATAGCGAATCAAACTTCCGGTCTTTTCGAGTTCGTTATGGAGGTGCTCGACTCTATCAAAAAGAAAACTTTCACCTCTTCTCCCAGGACGTAAATCATGCAAGTATCGACATAACATTCCATTTCAATAAATACCCAAAACACTACTGGTTCAAAAACCTATGTCAGAAGTGCCGAATTTTAAATTTTGAGAATCAATTCGAATGTTAACTCAACCATTCAACCTAATGATGAATCGTGCACAAATTCCAATGGAAATTCACACGCTGTAATGAGATACGCTCAAGAAGGATCACTTACAGAGTGCAATGAATGCATTCATTAAAGGAATGTAGGAAAGTGGCTTTAACGACAGCTTATTTTCAGTTCATTGGCTTGCTTACAAGTTCTTAAAATTTTCAAACGGGTTCCTCTTAGCTCGAAATTTGATTCAAAACAAATGCTTAAGATTTTTGGAGGTGTTAAGGAAACAAAAATCAGCGTAATATCCATAAATTTGTAGCATCAGTTGCGAAAGTTTAAACATTTTACATTTTGTCATTTGCACTTTTGCAGCTGAAGAGGCAGGTTGAAACTTTCGAAACTAGTCCGGCAAATTTACGGACATTAGGCTGATTCTTGTTGCCTTAACTTCTCCAATAATCGTCACTCGGCAACTCATAAATGCTAAAGTGTAACAAAAATTCATATAAATTTTGAAATTTAATTAATTATTTCATTCTATGGACCGTAGCTTTAATTCTGATATGTATACATAGCGTTTAGAAAAGGAGTATACCGATTTTATTTCCTTAACTAGTCCGGAAAATTTATTGATTTCAAATGTCTGTTCAATTTCAACGAGTTTTAAAGCAAGGGGTAAATTTTACGGAAATAATCTTATACTATGAGCAGAATAATGGAAGATTCTGAGAGAAAATAATTAGATCGCAACATGAACACCCCCCCAAATCCAGCACCGTAATTACCCCCCCGGGGCAGTGCCCTGGGGTTCCGAGCTTATAGGCCCCCAAATGAGCCAAAAAAAAATGTGGATTTTTATATTGGAAAATTTATTATAAAAAATTGAAAAATTTTCTAATAATGTTTATATTATCATTTTTCAAGTCGAGAAATTATTCCACGATTTATCTTTCTTTTTTTAGCCCAAAGGCGCAATTCGCCCAGAAGGACTATTCATTTCGTTTTGGCATTTTGGGCCGGTTCACTTTTCAAATTGTTGCCACCAAATATTAAAGACATGCATTATATTTAAAGAAATTGAATAATGAAGAATCTGCTAGCATGTATGTATGTGTTTCGCACTGTGAAAAAACAACGGTACCTAGAGACATCCAATTTTGAATAACGTACTCCTCCACTAGAATATGGGCATCTGGAAGCCCCAATTTGGAATTTGTTTTAATATATTATCTATATCATATTTTTCAAACATTAAAATATTTTTGATAAACAAACTCAACGATTTCAAAGCAATGAATGGCTACACAGTCCGGGGAATAAAAGTTTTTATCTCCAGTACACGAGACTGTATCAGAAATTCTAAAGATATGCTCTTTTAAATATTTCTGTGATATTGATACTGAATTTAAATTTATGGTTTAAGTGCGAAGAACATGATATTTAATAAGTAAAGGTAAAACACAAAACGTTAAAAAACGTCCCTTTGGGCGTAATATAAAATCTGAAAGTTTTCAGATTTTTTTTTAACCCTAAGGGCTATGAGTGTCGAAACAGCATTTTGCATCGGTTCACTATAAATGTCCGTTTCACTTTTTAAATTGTTGCCACTAAATATTATCGCTCTGTATTACATTTAAAGAAATTAAATAACGAATGATCTGCATGAATGTATGTATGTTTGTGGCAGTGTGAAAAAAGAACGGTACCTAGAGCCATCCAGTTTTGAATAACGTAATCCTCCAGCCTAAAAGCACACGTGGAAGCCCGAATTTGGAATTTCAAATTTGTTTCATTGTCTCTTTCATAGTCTATAAAACTAACGAATTTTTGATTAACTCAATGATTTCAAAGCGGAAAGTTTTTTTCCGTACAGTTTAAAAAAAAAAAACACTGTACGAAAAAAAAACATTGTCTCCAGTGCGCAACACTCTTTATCGGAAATTCTAAAGATATGTAGTTTTAAATCCTCTTAGCGCAAAAGGACATTAGCCAAAATGCCCTCGAAACGTGATGTAAATGAAAAAAACTCCCCTTTGAGCGTAATATCAAATCTGAAAGCTTTCAGTGTTTTTTCTTAAATCTAATTGAGAACGTTTGCCTGTTCAGCATTGACTCCTCCTAAGGCCAGAAGTGGTGGCTATTTTATTGTAGAGGCACCTAATAAGCGGCCACCATTGCCTCGTATGAAGGAGCGGAAAGTTAAAACGATGCCTTCTCCGGGATTCGAACCCGGGACTTTTGATACCGCAGTTAACTCCCCTAATCAATATACCGTCAGGGCGGTTTCCTGACGTGTAGAACGAGTCATGTACTTAACAGTTCTTGTGACTATAACTAAGATTTAACAATATTTCTCAAAACAGAAATTAATAAAAAATGATTTGCGAAGCAGTATAAAAATATACATATACACTGTAGATATAGCATACAGAAAAATAGGAAGCAGTATAGGTATATATAGTGTAGGTATATACTAGAAAGCCTTCGGTCATACGAAATGACCGCTGTTCTAGATATTATAAATTTTAATTAAAATAATTTGTGCAAAGGTGTCTGCTAATTAAAACTAAATTACCCAGGGCAGGCGGCGAGGACGCCCCTTTGCTTACTGCTCTACGGGGTTTTTCCCTTCTACTTCCTTAATTGCTTAAAGTAGAGTGCAATGAAGGAAAGCACTGGCGGTACATTTCTTAAGCTCAATAAATAAAGGTGATTTAAATAATGAAATGTTAATTCACATGTCAAAGATCTCTTTGTACTCAACATTTCTTGCGTAGATCTTTCCATCACTTTTAAGCTCGCCCTTGCAGAGGACCATCCATTATTTTTAACTTTACGTCCGTTCTTTCACGAACTCTTCAACAGGCAACATACAGTTGACCGTGTCCAAATGCAGGCTCAGGTAAAAAAATTCCACACGCTTAAGCGTTTGGCCCTGAGACATATGGATGGCCCTGAGACATATAGCAAAGGCAAGTTTTACAGGAAATTGTCTACGTCTCAATTGAAACGGCAAACCTGTGCAGTGGCAACTTCACCCCATTGGCTAGTACAGTTACGCAAGCAACCAACAAACTATCGGCGACAAACGGACACTTAAGCTGCATATATATATGGAGTGAAGTAACATTATCTCATCCGAAACGGCTTGCTCCCGGGCTTAGCGAAGCACACCGTTGGATTCTGCAGGTCCGTGGCACGCCAATTTGATCATTTGCGTCTTCGTGGGACTTTAATTAGCCGAGATATTAATTAAAAACTAATTTTCCCCTACGTTTTCCCTACATTTTTTCACTTTCTTTCTTTCTTGGGTTTTCCCTATTAGAAGGATTTGGCTACGTGCCAAATTATTTTTTTCTCGAATATCTGCGGAATGGCGCCGAGTTGAAATTCGAGACGTGTATCCTCGCATTCCAAAAAATTCTCCGAATCCATCGATACCGTTCTCATCTTCGTACGATTTTAATCGGTTGAGATATTAATTAAAAACTGCGGAAACGTTAATTTCCGCGCTCATTTTTCCGAGTGGCAACAATAAACTATCGGCGACACACACTTTAGCCGCTTATATATATAAAGATATGTAGGGTAGGTATAGTAGGTACAGTATAGGTATGGTATAGCACAAGGAAGGTCGGCAGTTTAGCTTTGCACTCAGTTAAAAATAATTAAGCCCTCCAAAACAACCTTCATAAAATAATGAATTCGCTTCCTTAAGAATTAAAAACAGATTTAAATATATAATTTGCTAGTAAACATTTCATCTCAATTTTAAATATATAATTTGCTAGTAAACATTTCATCTCAATTTAAAAAAAAAAAAAAAAAAAAAAAAAAAAAAAAAAAAAACGACGGCAAAGTTTTGACCATAGCGACAAACACCCCTGATTGAGCTAAATAAAAGCTTCCTCAAACATTAAATTATTTATAATTAATGCACAATAGTAACTTGTCTACTATGCTAAAACGCGCTTGTCCCAAGGCAAAGCAAACATGAATTATTCGACAAGCAAAGGACTGCTCCTGGAGGATTTTCCAGGAGAAATTGGTTAGTATTCAGGTTTATAAATGGGCAGGCCACTAAAACTTCATGCAAGCAGCCCGTCCAGTTGCCAAATATCAAACACTAAACTATTATTTAACTATTTTATCCATTCAGCCACTGGTAAGCACAGAAAAAAGATAAACATTTATTTACTATAGAAAATACAAGAAAATTTAATCAGTTTTTCTTCTATTTTTTCCCGTAATCAAAGAAGAGTGTTCAGAATTCGCATGCTAAATCTAACGTAGTACGAGTTTTACAACCAGAAAGTCATTTAAAAAAAAAACAAAAAAAGTACTTGCCTTCACATTTTCTTCTGGCCAGTTGCCAAGGATTTCAGAAATATGACCCAAGTCATTAATAGTAATAAAAAGGCCTCTGAAAAAACAAAAATAAAATATAGACAACGCGGAAAATAAACCTTTTAATACCGAAGAATATAGCAATAACAAAATAAATACCCATAACAGTAGGTATTTAATATGCATGACTCCTAATTATTCAAGGCAATATTTTTTTTTTAACAAGAATAATTCCTAAACTTACGATGACAGAAACAGAATAGGATTATTCGCAGAAAACTCAGATTTTAACAAAACTAAACTAATAAAATCTCTATATAACATACAAATCCTATTTTAATTTAATGTTTTGTAAATTCAAATTTGAGAAACACAGCAGTTTTCTGCATTCTAGCAGTTAAGACATTTTACCTCAGTTTTGTTAAAGAAAACGAATGATGACAAAGGCAAAAATGTAATGACATTTAAACAATTCTGCAAGTGCGTTCTAATCACGTGATATATTATGCATATAAGGCGAGTACATTATGCCATGTATAAACTAGTCAAGAAATAAAGGCAATTTCGTGTATGTATACCAAAGACAGCGGATAAAGAGACACACCCAAGGACAGCTATTCCTTCCAGTAAGTGGAATAATTCAGTGTTCTAAAAGTATTGCATTGCACGAATTCTTTAATTAAGCCTTTTTTTTTTGTCTTTGCTCGTATGCTAGAAGCCCGAGAAATATAAGGAAAGAGAAAATGTTTGCATTTTTACAGGTGGTCAAATAGCCTAGTGTTATATTACTATGAACTCTGCCCAGTCTAACATCATTTGCGTTTAATCAAGACAATTCAAGCCAGAAGTTTTAAATTTTTGATTCTGCGACCTCTTTTAAGTCTGAGAAAAAAAACTTCAAGACTCTTTAAGGAGCTTTGCCATTATGGAAAAAGAATCAGGTCCTTGACATTTACTCAGGGCTGTTAAGGATCTCATACCTGACTGGATTAAACAATATAACTTAATGCTAAAAAAATATTTTAAATCCACGAAAATTCCAAAATACGCTACCATACTTTCAAATCCGAATGTTTTGCAAAATACATATGTATTCTATATGCAAAATATGTATGTATTCTCTGGCAGCCTCCTCGTGGTGCACCCTGGATAACGATAAATCTGCTACAGATTTACCTCTCTCCTTTGTCTTCTTTTTGATGATGACATTCAAAAAATAATAACTCCAATCAGCCTATGATTTTTGAACATTTAAATAATTATACTACAGTTTCTAGGTATGAGGACGTTGTTGAAAGTACTGCAATGGCCGTGAACGCTAATGTTTCGTATTTGTAAAATAAATATATATGTATTCTTACACTAACTGTAAATAACTTCATCACTAACATAAATATATGACATAAAATTCAACAGCTTAAAGTTGTGTTCTGTCATTTGAATATGGCCAAGCACAAGAGAAATATCTGCCTAAGAAGAGGGATGCCTTCGTGAAGAACTTTCTAACGGAAACTGGCTCGTATTCATGTTAAACATGGGGGAACAAGGAAAGTACAAGTAGTAAACAAGGAAAATACCAAGTAGGCAGCCTGTTCATCAGGGAAATTGAATCCGGGGCGAACTCCCAGTATTCAGCGATCTTGCTACACGGGCACTGAAGCCCTCAACTGCTACAGATAAATTTACACCGATGATCATTTAGTTCATGACTTGCCTAATGAACTCGCTCGAAGATAATCTGTGTTGGGATTACAAAAGAATTTATTTTTTTAACCAATAAATCGCAGAGATGCCTTAAATATTCGTCGGTATATTCTGGGTTTGCTTTATTCCACATACTTAACTGAAATGTTCATTCATGTCACTCGTTCTTCTTGCCGTCTAACATTTTCCTCTCCATTGGAACTTGTCGCTGCTGTCACTATCTACGAATTCCAATATTTGTAAAATTTGATAGCCCAGATAATCTTCATTCTTTTTAAACCTCAATTCCATATTCCTCTAAACCCATTTTTTTACACCCCCTTGATACAATGTTTCGCACGCCCAACATTATCCGTATCTACATCTTCATTTATGAAGAAATTTTCTAGAAATTAGCCATAATTGGGACATAAATATCATTTCCAGTAGCAATAAACCGAGAACCTCAATATTACGTTGCAGGTTTTTAAATTCTCATGTTTCTTGACTTCTTGCTTTTTTACTGTTTCAAATGTAAACAATCAACGGCCGCCATAAAAAAAAGGCTTAACGGCACTTAAACAACTTTAAAATTGTTGATAATTCTAAAAATATTGCATACAGATTTACTAAAGGCATAAAAACCTTAACCGGAAGATAAAAACAACATAATTCAATCATTTTTAAAGCAAAAAATGTACAATTTAAAAACATACTATAAGAGTAAAGAAACTGAGATCACTGAGCCGGATAACAGAGTGGATATATATATAAATATATTTATATAAGTTTGGTGCGGCCGATAGCAACCAAAATACGAGGTGCACATCTACATGTTATAGCAGTTTCTATATACAAAATTTTCAACGTTCTGAGGCTACTCGTTTTTGAGCTATGCGAGATACGTACGTACATACGTTCGTACAGACGCCACGAAAAATTCTCTTCAAAAATTCATTTTAAAGCAGTTTTATAATTTTTTTTTTGGAAGAAAAGAGTCTGTTATCTGTCTTTACGTACAGATATCACGCAAAAACATCGTTAAATTGCATTCCATAGCGGTCAAAATGAATATTTTCGTTGAAATATGCTGCCTGAAACTTTTCCTCAAATTCAAATTTTGTTCAAAAATAGCCAGTTCAAATTTTGTTCAAAAATAGCCAGTTCCTCAAATTCAAATTTCAATTCTAAAATCATTTTGTTGGCATGGATTCGTTGGTTAATTAACTGATATGGCAAAGGACGCGAAGGTTATCTGGCTTGGAAGGAATTCCTTCTTGGGGAACATACTAAGGAACTTATATTCACATTACAAGCGAAGAAAATCGTGAAATCGCGGTGTAGCGAGTCTGTTCCTCAGGAAGCAAACCAAGGATGAAATTCCAGTGTTAGACAGTTTCATCCACTAGGCCACTGTCTTAACATCATACCCAACCAGAATGCTGTCTTCTTTTGTCCCTGTCAATCAGTAAGCGGGATCCATTCATATTTCCTACTGAAACAAAATTCCAATATATTTCTTTGATATATATTTCCAATATATATCTTAAACTTACTTGCGAAAACTAAGAAACTATTTCTCACAATATGATAATATGTTTCCAGCAAACTCTCCGAGAAATTCTCAAAAAAAAAATATTAGCATCTCGTACAAAATTCCTTAATCAAAATTCGTCATAATTCCCTGCAGAGTAAGAATTTCAAACATTAGTCTAAATCTCCGGTATTTCTTAATGTACTCATAGAGAAGTAATGTAATCATACAGAAGTATATTAATTACGATGAAGCGTTTGACAGTGTGATAAATATATCTCTTACCTGGGTCTGCGAAAAATCTTGCTGTATTCTTGACAAGCCTGACCTACTACTGGAGTGTAAACAAAAGGCATCAATTCTTCAGTGTGCTCGCAGAGCACCCGGTAAAATAAACGTTCATTGGTATCCTGAAAACATTAGAAAAAGAATTCTTAATAACTGAGCATTCAATTTCCAGATTTTTGCCGGTATATTTCACTTGATTGTGCAATCGCAAACTGCTTGTGAACGCATTACAAGCCATCTATAAAGACAGATTTGATTTTAAATCGCTACAGTTAATTTTTTGAATCACTTAGCGCTGTACCATAATTAATCACCTTTTATTTGTCTGCTATGTTTACGTAAAATGCATACAGGCCAAAAACTTTAACATCTACATGATTAGGTAAAAATAAAATAAATATTGCAGTATAAACATAAATACAACAGAAACTACATAGAATAAATACATAAAAGGAATATTATACACAATATATATTTAAAAGACTTTGGTTTAATTATCGCAAAGCACGCAAGGATTATTTGCCTAAGGGGAGGGTTGCTTTTGTGGAGGACTCAAGGAAACTGTCTCATATACACGTTGCACATGGGGAAAACCATGAAAACGCTTATGCAGCCAGCCTTTTCGCGTAGAGGCGAACCAAGGTAGGAATTATCAGTGTTCAAGACTTTACCGATCAAGCGTTGATGGGCCTTAATAAAAAAAAAGTAATATATAAAAGACAATATAGAAAAAGGAAAATAAAATGCAAAAAGGCAATGCAATAGACAAACATCGAATGACAATGATATGGCAGTGCAATAGACATGACGAAAATGAGAATTTTTTTACACAGGTATTAAGATTTATCATTTAACAATCATTAGTACATAAGGCTATTAGTTTCGAAAGAGATTTTACGTTGATTCACCGTAAAAACATTGTTTCACTTTTCATTCGAGTCTATTGCCATTCGGTAAAATGCCAGATATTTATCTTTTACATTTAATCTGCCAATTATTATTGATGAACAAATAAAGCTACTTAAAAGCAACAGATGTAGCTGTTAGGAATACATTTTTTTACTCTTTTAATAATGCCTAATTAAGGATTTAAATAAAAATGCCTTTAATTCATAACATGTCTAATTAAAAACATTAAAAATTTTTATAGCATTACATTGCACTTTTTTTTTTTTTTTTTTTTCAGGTTTGGAAATTTACAGATGATATACTATAATGTTCGCATGCTAGTCTAAGTGTATATATTCATCCCTAGCGTCCTATAAAATATTTCACTACTTTACCTCCATAGATAATCTCTACTGATAGCGACCATTAAAATCTGTAGTTCAGATATTTTTCTTTATTGTTCATTTTCAGTCAAGCATTTTAATCCTTTTAACAAAATTTTGTAAAAATTTGAATTTATGTGCATGCATACATTTGTTTCAATCTCTAATATTTCTAGTTTATTTATCCCTAATTTATTACGTTTTAATGACTTTTTGATATTCTAACATAGTCTTATGTCCTAAATATACTTACTTACCCAGGATTAAGTAAAAGAATCCACTGTCATTTTGCATGTCTGTAGTGACAATGAGAAACTGAAACTAAGCGCGATGGAAAAAAAAAAAAAAGACCATCATTTTATACCCGATAATTTATAGCAAAACTTAAGAATTTTTACATCCCATGTATTCATGAATTTCATTTCATTAGATTTATATGAAATATTACTTACATTTCCTTCCACAACCCTTTGACAAATGGAACTGTAAGGTGAATAAAGATATTGATAGCTCAGACAATCTGCTTCCTTAAAGCAATATGCAAGTATGTACACACACTGGTTTATTTGATTATGGCAAAGCACTCGAAGGTTAGCTCTCTAAATAATGCCTTCGCGCAGGATTTTCTAAAGGAAATTCGCTCGTATACACATTACACATGGGGAAACCATGAAAAAGCCCATGCAGGTAGCCCATTCGCCGGGGTTCGAACCCCGAACCGAACTATCAGTATTCAGCAACTTTACTACTCCTGTCACACTGCATGTCAAATGCATGGAAAGAAATCTATAATGACACTGAACTATTTAGCTCATTTAAACAGCGGAAACATACAAGGTCAAGCAAACAAGCTTAGAAATACTTCCTATCAGTAAAGACATCAGAATTCATGATATCATAAATCTGCCACTTGCTGATAATTAAGAAATTATGTCTGTTAGCTACTTGATTGCCTTCGACTGGTAGAAGACATATGAGAAGGCAGATCAAGAGATTATTTCCAGCAGAATCCTTCAAGACGGAGCAATCACCTGTCCAGGGCTGCAAGATGCTCACCTTGGTGAAAATGTTTCGAAGGCTGTAATCTCGGTCAAGAAGCTGTCAATGTGAAAAGCTTTATAAAAATAAATCCATTTCAGTTGGAAATGATTAAAAGAAATTTTATTTCGATGGCAAATCAAATGGAAATAATAAAAAATGAATATCAGAACTAAGATATCGTACCTGGGTAATAGTAAAATGCTGTTAATACTCAAACATTTAGGCAAGATACCTACCTCGGCCAAGTATTGCATAACATAAACAAAGACTAATAAAGCTACAGTCAAAAGGTAAACAGAACTAGCAAAATATACTCACTAATAAATTAAGAAAAAATGCATACCATGTAACGATAAAACTCTTAATGCTCGGATGGTGGTACTTTGTCCTCGTTAATCAGTTAATGATATAATTACTATTCTGATCATTGGCAAAGCACACTTAGCCGCTGGTGAGACTCAAAATGAAATTCCTCCCTTTTCAAAGAATAATACAGTTAAATGCTTTAAAATTAATAAATTCCTAAAATTAAACTACTTTTCAAGTTAACAGCACGGATGTGCAGAGAAAATGTCTCAAAAAGCAGCTATGTGCTATTGTGGTATTTTCAGACACTATATTTTACAATACGTTATCTTTGTTGTTGCGAAGCTAAGTTTCTCTAGATTCGCAACAAATCCACTAGTCTGCTGTTTCAAATGTAAACAATCAACGGCCGCCATAAAAAAAAGGCTTAACGGCACTTAAACAACTTTAAAATTGTTGATAATTCTAAAAATATTGCATACAGATTTACTAAAGGCATAAAAACCTTAACCGGAAGATAAAAAACAAAATAATTCAATCATTTTTAAAGCAAAAAAAATGTACATTTAAAAACATACTATAAGAGTAAAGAAACTGAGATCACTGAGCCGGATAACAGAGTGGATATATATATAAATATATTTATATAAGTTTGGTGCGGCCGATTGCAACCAAAATACGAGGTGCACATCTACATGTTATAGCAGTTCTATATACAAAATTTCAACGTTCTAAGGCTACTCGTTTTTGAGCTATGCGAGATACGTACGTACATACGTTCGTACAGACGCCACGAAAAATTCTCTTCAAAATTCATTTTAAAGCAGTTTTATAATTTTTTTTGGAAGAAAAGAGTCTGTTATCTGTCTTTACGTACAGATATCACGCAAAAACATCGTTAAATTGCATTCCATAGCGGTCAAAATGGATATTTTCGTTGAAATATGCTGCCTGAAACTTTTCGCGATTACAATACTTCCTTTTTACTTCGTACAAGAAAGTGAAAAAGGGTGACATTTTTGACACAACCTGTATATGATAAGAAATTTCTAAAGAAACTTTTAAAGATTTTAATTTTTAAAAGAACGTGTCATATCTGAAGGAAAGGGTATCTGACATAGGTTTCAAAACTGAACCATAAACTTTGTTTGGTTTATTTAATAATGGCAAAGCACGCAAAGGCCATTTGCCCAAGGAGAAGGATGCCTTCGTAGAGTACTTTCTAAGGAACTCGCTCGTATATATGTTACACATGGCGAAAACCACTAAGGCGCTTATGCAGTCAGCCCGTTTGCCTGGAATCGAATCCAAGTCGTAATTATCAGTGTTCAGCAACTTTATCGCTTGGTCGCTGGTGGGCCTCAATCATAAATTTGATTACCAGAGAATAAAATAGAACTTAGAAGCTGAATTTACATCCACTGATGCAGCCTTCGGAAAATTTCGGAGGGGATTGCAGGATTATTGCGATTGATTATTATGTGATGACAAGAATCCAATAGAATATATTTTTAAAACTCAGCCTCAGCTTTTATCTTTCATGACGAACTACTGAATGATAATAACCTCGCTTGCGGGAAAAAAAAAAAAAAAAAAAAAAAAAAAATCCCGCAATAAGCGCCTACAAAAACCTAACTGAAAAATTAGTAGCATATATATCATTTACAGAAAACTAGTTATCCAAAAGAATCATTATGCATAATTTTAATTAGGACAGGAAGGAAGCGAGTTAGACAAAGTAGACAGATGTCTTGTTTTGCACCCGCTAAGTCTTTCTGCACCGATGGGAGAAAAATCAAGCTTAGGTGCGAAGGAAAGTTAAAAGTAAGGATTTACACGCATATTTCCACGGTGACAGTACTTTCAAAGCGTAACTCACTTGCAATTCCCTGAGAAAAAGATAACGGCTGAGATCGTCTCCATAGCGGCTCAGATTGTCTAAGACGGCTTCCACTTGTAGACTTACAGGCCGAACAGCAGCAGGCAAAAGACCCCGAAGACCGAGGCTAAGACGTTCACTTTCCGCATGAGCTAGGCCCTGAAAATGAGAAAATTATTTATGATGTAGACAGAAAAACCTAAAATTCTCTTTAAATGCATTTTCCATTTTTTAAATTTAAAAATACATTAGAATTGAAATCAAATAAAATAGGAAAAATACTAAACAATCTAAACTAAGTTTCTAATTCCAATTTTTGAAAAAATATTATTAACTTTTACAAAAAATATTAGACAAATATGTAATAATATATACCTTATAAACTTGTTTAAACAATTTTAAAACTTTGAATACATCAAAATAACAACAAATACAAAATCACAAATGATGTCACACTCTACACATCAACTCACAATAATGACCTTTACACCGTTAGTGGTGTCACCACACTGAAGCTTTCAAAACTCTACATGTAAACAGTATATATCCAATTGGTTACACTATGCAATAAGCTAAAATTTGTGTTTTGGTTTGATTTACATGACCAATTGATTTACATGAGAATGTTGCCAAATGGCAAGTACAGGCATTTAAGGGTTATTGTCTTGCCCATATTCATGGAACAATGGTTGCCAGAGACTACTCAGAAGAGAGGTTGGACTTCTATTATTTTGAGGGAGAGAACTCCGGGAGGGGGGGGAACCCGGGGGTCTCCCACCCCTCTCCCCTTCCACCAATCCACGAGAGGACTTTCGGCTCGCCGCATATTTAGAATGCCGCCTTGCAACACAGACACTATATATTTACAAACATTCATTTACAAACATCCTCCGGGATCCGAACCAGGGCCCTTCGATACCATAGTAGGCTTCCCTAACCACTATACCGTTTGGACAACGCATTTAAGGGTTAACACATATGAAACGATGCACACACGATACAAACAAATATAAACTTTCATATATATCTACGATTTCCTAAATCTATTCCCAAATTTGAAATTGCTAGTTACTCTAAGGTGTTTCTCCCTTCTTATCGCGAGCCTTCCTGATGTAATAGGAAGTACATCGTCTCGCAGTTATGAGGTCTAGAGTTCAAATCCTGGCAAAGGCATCGCTAATTTCTTACATCTCTTGGCTCTCATCAGTTTCTACAAGTAGAACGAGAAGTAAAACATGGTGGACGAGAATTCGTGACCATCAGGTTTGGCGATTGGGTCCCCGCCTGCCCAGTTCGCACTGCCGAATGGTTAAGTAAGGAAAGAATGCAAGGTATTTTATATCTGCTTACCGCGTGCTCTTGTGTTGTAAACTGGAATCATGTCCTGCTAACGACTGGGATGTCCGGAGTCGCGATCCGGCTAGCAGTTTGGAGGTCCGAATCTCAGTCAAAAGCATTACATATTCTTCTTGTTTCCTGCTTCGACAAACTTTGCCCTTACAGCTGAAGTGTTATATGATTGTCATTGCAAGGATCGTATGACATGGATTAATTTGGGAGTGACGCAGTTTAGAGCTATTTATTACAAGCAGTTAGTACTTTTAGGATGGAAAGCTGAAATACCCCAATTAAAATGAAGATTAATTATTTTATGTACAAAAGGTTATTTTATGTACGAACATCTGCAATGACTGGAATAAGCTTCACTGATAACTATCTTGGACAAAATAGATGCACGTGAAATCTGAAAAGAAAATCCACGTTCGTAGAACTATTAATTTGTAAGATAATTAGCTGTCTAGAACAGTTCTCTAAATACAGTGCATAGACCTTTTCTAAACCTTAGGTTTGTTTTCTTACATACTATACTGCATATTCTTTAAGTATTAAATATTTCCATTTTTACTCGATACGTCTTAGAATATTTCTCTATAGCCGACATTTTGCTCATAGAAAAGGGCTGGTCATAATTATAATCAATAAAAAAAATCTGAAAGGTTTTAGATTTTAAATTACGTCCAAATGGGCATTTTTTTAACATTTTCTGTGTTAACTTTATTTTATTAAATATCATGTTCTTTGCACTTAAACCATAAAGTTCAGTTCAACAGCAATATCGCAAAAATAATTTTAAAATGAGCATATCTTTAGAATTTCCGATACACAGTCTCGCGAGCTGGAGATAAAAATGTCCCCTCCGTACAGTGTTGCCATTGCTCGCTTTGAAATTATTTAGTTTGTTAATCAAAAATTCGTTGAAGTGTTACAAAATATGAAATCGATAATAAAAAACAAATTTCAAATTCAAATTAGAGCTTCCAGATGCCCATATTCTATGGAAGATTACGCTATTCAAATTTTAATGGCTCTACGTACCGTTGTTTTATCCCAGTGCGAGAAACATACATTCATTGAGATTCTTTATTATTTAATTTCTTTAAATATAATACTAGGCGAGAATATTTGGCGGCAACAATTTGAAAAGTGAAACAACGCTTATGGCGAATCGAAGCAAAATGCCAAAACGAAATTAACAGTCCTTCTGGAAAAATTGCCCCTTTGAATTAATTATGAATATAATTGACTACTTTACACAAAAATCTCATTTCCTTTGTATTTTATTATAAATACTGCATGCATATGTTTATCAGGTTATCGTTATAATGCTATAATTCTTTGTTACTGTTGTCGAGATTATTTTTATTACTGTTTCACAGTATGTTTTGCTTAGATGACTTTAGTTGCTCAAAGTATACATAAATACACATATGTACAAAGCTAACCAAATTCATAAGTGAGAAAAGGTGCACAAATATTTTTTTTAAAAAAGGGTAAATTTCTTTCCAGCTCTCTAATCATACCCTTCCAAAAATAATTAATTTTGCGTTAGCACGTAACAATTTACATGTTAACGAGTTTTAAACAAGCCTTGATTTCCGGTTTTTAAAAAACCAAAGGCTACATATTTCACCTTGGTAGAAGATAAGCGGATGATAAAATCATTTCCAGTAGGAAATCAAAATACGGGACTTACCCTCAGCAAATTAGCTTTCGCAAAGATTCTGAATATTCTGGGATAGCCAAATGAAAAATGATACAATTTATTCTTCATTTGTCTATCCCAGAAATAATGATATATGTCAATGAAACATTTATCGTATATCGCATTAATATAATGATATATGTTAATGAAGAAAGAAAACACGTGGAATGTTTGACTAATGCAAGCACAAATTTAATTCATTGAAACTAACCTTATTGCGCTCAATTTCGAAACAGCTTCCTGGAAATCATCCAAGTCATTAAAATCTTTTCTTGAATACACTGCTTGCCATGTCACACACGTACAAATGATCCTGCCATTTTCTGAATGGGTTTGTCATTCATATAAATTACAAACATTTTGTTGAAAGATAATGGACATTCACATGTAACGCCACTACCAAATCCTACGCAGTTTTCCTCCCAGGCCCTACCGGAATTTAAGCATAAAATATTCTACAGTTTTGCTTAGCCAGGACAGTTTCCAGATCTCCATTTCAAAATATAAAAACAATGAAGTAAAAATTAGGTGCGAAATTTTGCATTGAATATGTCGGCTGAAGTGCTGCTACGGTCAGACCTTTCAAGTGTGTAAATCCGGTACACTATGAAATCCTGTGCAACGGCCTTTTCATCTCTTAAGTTATTTTCTGAGGACTTTTTCTCATATGAACGTTAGAAACGTTAGAAAGCGTTAGAACGTTAGAAAACGTTAGAAAAATGACCAGAAAATTTAAGAAATGATTTTGTTTTGTTGTTAATCTGCCTCATAGGGCAGTCATCAGAAATGATAGAGCAACAAACAGACTAAGAATAGTTTATGATGCTTCAGCCTATAAGCCAAAAACACTTTCTCTAAACGACTGTTTATATACTGATCCGAACTTGTATCTGATATTTTTGATTTATTAATAAAATTTAGACAAAATTCGATAGACTTTACGGCTGACATTACACATTCATTTTTACAGATAGAGTTAAATGAAGAAGACAGGGACATTACACGATTCTTTTGGAAAGATGATCGTGATGATAGCAATGAAAATTTGAAAACCTTTATATTTATAAGAGTTTTGTTTGGAGAAAAATCTAGTCCCTTTCTCCTAGCCGCTACTATTTGAAACAGTAGAACTCAAATAACTGCCTGTATGTTGACGACATAATTAGTGGTCAAGAAAATTTAGAACAAACCCTGAAAACAAGTTTAGAAATTATGGACATTTTTAATGAAGCTAGCATGTCTACATAAGTGGCATACTAATTCAAAAGAACTCAAAGACATTTGGCATCACAAAGAATTTTCGATACAAGAATCTCCCGAAGTTGTTCCGATCAAAGTGTTAGAAATTAACTGGGATACGGATACTAATTTTTATTTTGACACTCAGCACTTGACAAATTTCATTTCCACGTCAATTAACTCAAAACGTTTTCTATTACAAACCACGCAGGTCGTATTTTTGATCCTGCCAGATTTTATGACCCTTTATAATATAAGAATAAAGTGTCTGATTCAGGAAATCTGGTCTGCCAAAATTGATTGGGACGATGAACTGACACGAGATATTAGTTATAAATGGAAAGCCTGGTACGAAGAAATTGAAGAACTGAACCACCTCATGATTCCCCGCTATTATTTAGAGAGAATAGTAGATGTCGATGTGAAACAAATAGAACTCCATAGCTTTTCTGATGTTAGTTTGAAAGCTTATGGATGCGTGGTATATCTAAGAATAGGTTTGAAGAATGGAACTTTTCAAACAGTTTTTGTTGCTTCCAAGAGTAGAGATGCATCTATGAAATCACACTTCCTAGCTCTTGGGCGCGGGATGAGAAAAAGTTAAATGATTTCAGCCAGATCGAGTGATAAAATCGCAAAATGTTTAAAATACGAAGTAATCCCCCTTCCGTTGCACTGATTCTCAAATAACGTATTTTTGGATACATGGATCTCCCGAAAGATTTAAACCTTTCGTCAAAAACAGAATTTATGAAATTCAGAAACGAATTGAAAGCAATATTTGGTATTATTGATGTGGGAAAGATACCCCTCCTACCTCGTATCACGAGGAACTACTGTTGCTAATTTAAGAAACTGCCCTTTGGTGGCATGGATCACCCTG